TCCTCCACACCTGAGGGAGCCTGAGAGGTCTGTCTGTTTTTTTCCCCCATGAATGCTGAGGTGGCATTGCAGAGATGAAGGATACATTTCTGTCATAATCGTGGTGACGCTTGGTGAGGGACTGGTGTCTCCGCATTTAAGCAGTTTGTGAGTCCTGCATCCATAGGGCAGGATGTCCGTCCTAGTGTCTGACACCTGGCCGTGCTCTATGTCTTTCCCGGAAGGTGAAGGGCAGTGTTAAACTCACACGTCGTGAGCTGCTTCAGCCTCTGAGTTTCCTTAGTAAATGTGGTGGAGACCAGTTTGCAGCCGCTCTGGCAACTTGCCTCTGTTTGCTCAAAGTTGGATTTTGCCGGCATATAAAAATCTAAAATTTGTACTCATGTATAGTTACATTTGTTGAACTTGTTTATTGCTTGTAAAATATTTTCAATTGAGTCTCTTGTTCTCCAAATAATGATAGTTTTGCTTTCTTGCTTTTTATTGTCTATTCATTAAAAAAATTATATATATATATATATAATTTGCCAACAACCATCAGCTTGTTTTCTGTATCTACACATCTGTTTCTACTTTTTTTATTCATTGATTTTGTGTTTTAGATTCTACATATAAGTGAGATCATATGATATTTTGTCTTTCTCTGTCTGATGTATTTCACTTAGTGTAATACCCTCTAGGTCCATTCATGTTGTCACAAATGTCTAGATTCCATCCTTTTTTATTGCTGAATAATATTCAATTGCATATACACACATCTTCTTTATCCATTTATCTTTTGATGGGCACCTAGATTGCTTCAACATCTTCACTATTACTAGTTATGCTGCAGTGAACACAGGGGTGCATATATCTTTCTGAATTAGTGGTTTTTTTTCTTCCTTCAGATAAATACCCAGAAGTGGAATTGCTGCATCATACGGTAACTCTATTTTTAATTTTTTGAGGAACCTCCATACTGTTTTCCATAGTGGCTGCACTAATTTACAAGCCAACCATCAGTGCATGAGGGTTCCCTTTTCTCCATATCCTCGCCAACACTTGTTTGTTGATTTATTGGTGGTAGCCATTCTGACAGGTGTAAGGTGATATCTCACTGTGGTTTGATTTGCATTTACCTGATGATTAGTGATGTTGAGCATCTTTTCATGTGTCTGTTGGCCATCTGTACGTCCTCTTGGGAGAAATGTTTCTTCAGGCCCTCTGTCCATTTTTAAATAGGATTGCTTGTTTTTTTGGTGTTAAGTTTTATGCGTTCTTTAGATATTTTAGGTATTAACCCTTTATCATTTGTAAATCTCTTCTGCCATTCGGTATGTTGTCTTTTCATTTTGTTGATGGTTTCCTTTGCTGGGAAAAAACTTTTAGTTTCATGTAGTCCCATTTATTTATTTTTTCATTGGTTTCCCTTGCTTGAGGAGATATATTCAAAAGATATTGCTAAGAGTGATGTGTATATTTGCTTCTAGGAGTTTTATGGTTTCAGGTCTAACATTTAAGTCTTTAATTCTCTTTGAGTTTATTTTTGTACATGGTGTAAGAAAGTGGTCCAGTTTCATTTTTTTTTGCATGTTTCTGTCCAGTTTTGCCAACATCACTTATTGAGGACACTGTCTTTACCCCATTGTATATGCTTGCCTCCTTTGTTATAGATTAATTGACCATATAAGTGAGGATTTATTTCTGGGCTCTGAGAGATCTTTCTAATGCTACACATCCCAACACATCACTCTGCTAATTAAACCCTGGAACAGCTCCCCACTGTCTTCAGGATCAACGCCAGCCCAGCAAATTGCTCTTTTCCACGTGTGGCCCCGGCTAGCTCCCTCTTTTTTGCACCCCAGTGTAACACATTCCCCTCCTCTCTGGTCAAACGGAGTTCAAGTTTTCTGAAATGCCGTTCCCTCTTTTGACCTCTTTGCTGTTTCACAGCAGCACTTTCTGTCTGCTCATCCCTTCCCTAGCTCTCTGCCTGGCTAATTCCTACCGCTCTTCAGTTTTCAACTCTTCTGTGATGCCCTTCTTGATCCCTTGTCAACCCTCAGACCCTACTGGGGTGCCTGAGACCCTGCTATGAGTTCACCAACTCTGCTTTCATTTTCTTGTTCTTAGGCGCTCAGAAAGACAACATTTCCTGGGCTTCCTTGGAGGTGAGTTGAAGTCACCCCACCATGCTCTCACTAGGGTGGGAAGAAATGATGCATACCACATCCAGCCCTGCTCAATCCAGCCCCTTCAACCATCTAAGCCCTCTTCCCCTTCCACAGCAGCCTTAGAGGTCAGGCGCTGAAATGACAGCATCACAAGGTGTAACAAACACAGCGAGTCACCACTAAGAGCGGCCTGACACATGTGGACTGTGTGCCCCTTCGATCTCAGGTCTTGTCATCTGCCCACAGCCTACCCTCTCCTGAGTAATACAATGAAGTGCCCCTTTCCTTGTGATATTAACCTCTGTTATAGCCTACATCACGCTGCCTACACTGTCTTCTCCACCAGACTGTAAGCTCCTTGATGGCAAGAATTTAGTTTTAGCTCTCTATAGTCTACTCGCTCCATAGCGCTTGATATATAGTTGGCATTTGGTAAAACATCTCCTTTTGTTTAGAATTTGAGGTATTGGTTTAATTTGCAGCCCCAATAACAGAAGGGACTTATACCAAAGAGAAAATAAAACTAGACACACACAGGAAACCAAACAAATGGTTATAAAACGTAATGTTCGCCTAAGAGTCTAGTCTAGTAAACATCTTCTGAAGGAATGAAAAATCTCAGGGCCCCATTTGACAATGGAATCAAAATAGAGTGAAAGGAAATGTCAGGCTGGAAGGTAAGGAGAGAAGAGTCTTTGGTTTAGTGGCTGCAGACTTCCCTGCCATGGGCTCATGGAGTCGCTGAGGCAAAGGACCCTCCCCCGTTCTCCTAATCCATCCCACATCACACCCCACCTTTCCTTGACACCTTCTTCCAATGGCTCCCCTGCAATTGCCAGGAGTTGCTTTTATTTCGTTCACTAAACAATGGATGAATTGAATTAAAATAAATGAGATGCAAATAAATTCCAGGCTTTCTCCCTCATTTTCAAATTACATTTTCAGTCCACTCAACCTGTTATAATCTCATAGTGATTTTCATTTAAGAGAGCTAAATGGATATGTGATTGTTGTTACAGGAACTAACACTAGACAATTAAGTGTTGAGGTGTTGATAGATAAAGCTGTGTTTTGATTTGCATAAACATGATGCCAGCGAATCTAACCCTGGCAGGAATTCAGTTAGGAGACTTGCGCACCCAGCTTTTGCTGATTTCCACAAGTCCCGTTAGTAAGATTTTTCACCTTCAGAGTTGGGAGTATAGCCATTTTATATTAGGGCCACATCTAACTTTATTTTGAAAACTTAGTCGAAATGCCTAACTGATTTATCAGAGAAAAGGCATGATGACTACTTATAATCAACTTCTCCAGTGCAGAGTATCAAAAATCAATTATACAGCCCTGAAATCCAGTCCTTGAGGATTTAGCTACTAATCTCATTTCGTTTTTGTCTTTAGGAGGATACTGCAGCTTGCAACTCTGCAGATACCAGCAGAGGAAGAAAAACACAGGAGTCAGCTGATAACCTAATGTGGAGAATTAAACTTCACCTAGACAAATGCAGAATCGTAATATGGAGTGGCCTGGGTCCTGCAGGGAGGTCAGTTGGGCTGTCTGAATTTCACTCTAATAACCCAGCAAAAATTATGGCCCAAGTTTTGTGAGTGGTAAGCCTTCTACTCTTAGGGATTCCTAAGCATTAGTTACACCCTGCCGTGTTCCACTGTTTACTGTCTTCCTAGTGCTTATCTCAATCCACAATTACTTCAGTTATTTCCTTTAGTTATTATCTGTCCCTCTTGCCCTCACCCCTGAAAGTCCGCTGCAGGAGCGCAGGGATTGTATGTGCTGTGCCATGTATCTCCATTGCATAGCACAGTGCCTAGCTCATGGAGCTCAATAAATACGAGCCGAATTTGATGACGCCTGGGACCCCTAGGATGGCCCCCTGGGGGTAAGAAACAGTCCCTCTGAGTGTCAGGTAAGTAACCAGAGCGGGACCCAGATTATCTGGATACCCAGGGATCGAAACAAGAAGCTGTGTGGCCTGGTGATTAAGAATACTGGGCAAGTGAACCACATAGAAAGACGGAACTGGGGCTGAATCTGGCTTTGCCATTTTTTAGCCATTGTGCCCCTGGACAGGTTAATTAGATTCCCCAGAGCCTGTGTTTCCTCACCTGAGAAATAAAGATATTATTAACAACCCCCACGGGGCTGCTGAAAATAGTATCATACAAGTAAAGCATTTAACATAGTGCTTATATCATAAACATCTTCAATAAATATTATGTGTTAATTTTTAAGAGGTGTAACTTGTGGGTAAGTTCCTAGTCTGTGGAAGCTAGGGTTGGTTAAAACTTCCTACTGTGCTTGGCTTGTGATTTCCTCTTGGGAAGCCTTCCCTGATCCCCACAGGCTGGGCGGTATCTCCTCCTCTGTGATCCCACCAAGCCTCTATCTTCTCACTTAACCCTTCGGATTATCCTGCTTCTATATATTCTACTGGACTGTCAACTCCTTGAGTGGAAAGAATACCTTATAAAATATTGTTCTTCAAGCATTTAGCAAGTTACACGGGCACCAATTCATCCGTTGAACTGGCCAAACAGTGAAAGCTGAGGAAGAAGATGGCTAGTGTGAAAAGAATGCCAACACTCTCTCTAGCTCTAGCATAAGGTAAAACCCCACCTTTTTCAGTCCTAGGAAACGGGGAACGTTTTCCCCAAGGTATCAGTCCCAAAGGGATGTGGCTCCTAACTTCTAACTCCTGAGGGAAAGCCTTGCCTTTTCCAGGGAAGAAAGGAGTAATGGAGGCTTGGAAACCAGGAGATTTCCACAGCTCCTGATGACAGGGTGTATCCCCTGCTACTTCATGGTGATAAGCTGGGTGAAACCACTTACCCGGAGTTTCCTGCCAAAGATGGTGACTTTGCCTTTAATCTGTTCCTTTCTTAGGCGCCACTCAATGGAGTTGAGGCCATTCTCCATGGGCAGGGAGATGTTGCAGCGCCCAATGGTGGGGGTGATGGTGCCCGCTAGGACATGGGGCTCACTGTGGAAGCTGACACCCATCCCATTGGCATACATCACCCTCAGGGTACCGTTATTACAGAGCTGGTAGCTGTTCCGCACTTGATCTGGAGAAATGTAAGTGGGGGTGGGGACAGGGAAATAAATTATCCACTCAGTCATAAGAGAATAGAACCCTTGTTTTTCTAGGTTTCCATGGTACTTTGCAGCTGTCAGTCTCAGGCTGCCTTCAATTAACACACACACAATGGTAAGGTGAGTACAGAGATGCTACTGATCCGTGGAAAGAAAAACATTATTAATATGTGGCACTCCAGAAATAATTATGCTGTGATATTTTTCTTTTACTCACTGAAGACTATTAATAGTACCCTTAAACATTTAAAGATGTCTATTGCCTACACAATTTGTGTCAATCAAATCCTTGCTCTTTAACATATTTTAGCTTAACTGGAAAAAAAAACCAACCCCAAACTACTTAAATATATATTTTTTTCCCTTTTGCCTACCATCTAACCTGAAGTTGATGGTTTAGCCACAGGTCAGATCCACTGCAAATCATGTCTAGGATTCTTCAAGAAAATCAAGAGAAAAAGCAACCATCCTGTGCCTCATACTTTAGCTGCTGACTCCACCATGATGCCACCTCCACTCAAGAGAACTCTAAGGAGATTCAACTAACGTGAGGTAGACTGAGCCAGTCGGTGCTGATAACGTGCATTTACCTGCCCAAATGGAAGCAATGCTAGTCAATCAGACTTCTGACCTTTTCCTTTATCAGAAAGTTCCAGGAAGGAAATGTGAGTCAGAGACTCCTTTCACAGATATATTGCTTCCTGATCATTTGGTCAGAGGCGTCCAGCCGGGCTGGCCTCCGAGATGCTGGGGTAGTGAGCAAATGAGTACCTGTCGCTTCTGCGACTGCGGCCATCATGCCGAAAGACAGAATCTACATCATTAATCATTTGGCACAGCAGAAATAGAGTCATTGAAACAGGTTCTGTTGTGGGATAATAGTCCAGAAATGTCACCATTTATCTACGGAGAGGACACTTTTATCTTCTGACAACGGGCTAACCCACTGACATTATATCTTAATTAAAAGAAAAATTAATCTGCACAGTTCCTTTTCTTGCCAGCCCCTGTGCTTGTCCTGGACCGTATGTCATGTCGAACAGCAATAGTAACCGTGGGGTGGTCAGAAACTTTTGAGATCCCAGTCCTGGCAAGAGATTGCTCAAGAGCTTTGATTCCAGGACAACCAACTCAACAAACAAATGATTGGAAAAGAGAATCAGAATGATATCTTCCCCCAGCCCATCAAAAAAAAAAAAAAAAAAAGGTGGGCCCAAGAGAATAAACAGCCTTTGAGAAGGTAACTATGTGTGTTGGGTTGCTGGGAAGTGTTGGCGATGGAGAGGTAGGCAGTGGGGGGAGAGCATATGGGATGTCAATTGATAAGCCTGTAGACATTCCCAAATATCTAGATAATTCGGTATAGATGACATTCTCCTGAATTCGATTAAGTCATTTTCTACAAGGTTGAGCTCTTGTAGAGTTTGTCTGCTGTGGGTACTTCACTAAAATAGCAAGCTGAGGGGTGCGATAGGTCTCTGGAAGTCCTCTCAGGCTTGGTAACCCACACCTCTGGGCTTGGCTAGCTGGGTCTAGGGGTGAATTTTGGGGTGGGGTGGTGGTGTGTGGGGGGCTTACCTTGTACCACTGTGTAGGAAGCCTCCACTGAAGACAGGTTGGTAATTACAGTCACATCATCATCACGGTTGGAGTTCTCAATGTCGATGGTGATGGATTTCTCCATTTCCCGATGCAGACTGGTCACCACTCCCGTGGGGCGTGTCACATTGGTCAGGCGGCCCTCATGATCATAGCTGGAGGACAACACTCCAGTTAGAACACAGTGACTGGGGCTGAAGGCTTTCCCAACACTCAGAACCATTCAAGGGACAGGTGCATGGGGCCAGAGGAACAGGCTGGAAGGTGGGGCGACCAGATGATGCATCACTCTGAGGCCCCTTGTCACAGTCCTCAAAACCCCAACCTGCCCTGAGAAATTGTGGTGACACTTTCTACTACCCACCGATAGACCTGACTCGACGCGGTGCAAACATTTTATCTCCGTCCGGCTGGACTTAATTACGCTTTCCCAAGTAAGTGGGAACGCCTGCCTCTGAGCACCTTTTGCTTTTTAATTTATATGTCCCACAAAGCAACCAAAGTAATCTTTCTAAAAATTATCAGTTTCCTTATGTCCCTTCTCTGTTGAACTAACCACACTGTTTCCTACTAGTTGTTCAATCAAATGAAAACGTAGCACTTGAGACCATTCACACCCCTGATCTTCCACACTCGAATACCTTTGTCTAACTTATCCTCTCATAGCCTCTGGGCAGTCAGCCTGGGCCTAATGCGAATCCCAGGCCTCGGCTCAAGCGTGGCAGGCTTGGCTTCCGGGAACCTTTTCTCTGGTCCTATAGCCCAAACCAATCACGGCTCAGCTCCCCAAACAGCCTTTTTAGACAGCTTTCCCAGGGACACACTTGACCTCAGTTGTCCTCAGCACCCAAGTCTAAGGACACCGGCAATCAAGCTCTGCTGCCAGCAAGTTGCCTGACATTGGACCCTCCTTCTTTATGTCTGTGTGCCATCTTCACGCTTTTTTTCAAAGTGTGAAGTGTTTTTCCCACCTCCTTTAGCAGAAGCCCTGCTGTTCCACTTGGTAGAGCGTTTCCTTACCCTGGAAGATCCAGGAAGCCTGTGCCTTAGGAAAGGAAAACGGACTCTTTTCAAGGTCTAAATGGGGAGGCCTTTCAGCTCTCCCAGATTAATTGGTTACTGGAGAAGGGGTGGGGAGGAAGATGGAACACGTGAAGTATTTGCTTGGAGAGTTAAAAAGGAGGAAGAACTGCTCAGCCTCTGGGTGTGACTCCCTCTGGACTGGAGACAGGGACCAAGGTGGCGGGTTCTGAGCGATTGAGATGGGAGATGGTACAGCATGTGGGGAGGGCCTGTGAACAGAACTGCTGTGGCCCACTGGACTTTACCACATAGTGCCCAGGACATCAAAAGCCAATATGGAGGGTGCTGGGTAAGTGTGTTTGGAATAAAGGGATGCAGCTCTGCCTCAGGACTTTCAGTGAGGTGAGAAATTTTGCTTCTGTGGTGAACTGGAAAGAGTCGGCTCTGTAGATGTTTGAAGGCTGAAGGCGGTACCACATTAAGCTGAATGGCCAGTTGAGCAAAGGCTGTGGAGGACAGGGGAGGGGAGAACTGTGAGCAGGAAACCCTTGGGGGCCCAGCCTTTGGCTCTACGCTCATCACTTGCCCAGGGGACTAGACAGTGGGTGGGCCAGACATCACATTCCCTGGAAAGCTCAGGTGGTATAACCACTAAAAATATAGATAAGACTCAGGCTCTCCAATTCAAAGGGACTGCCTTGTGCTTTTTTTATCTGTTAAGGGAACTGCTTCTCAGACGGGATACAGAGATGTTACTTACAAAGTGACAAATTAAAATAACCTACTTGTTCATTAACTACCCTGGCGGTAATCCTGAGTGCGCGTCGGGGTTAATTTTCACTGTCCGAAGCGGTAACCCCGAGAGTGCCTCAGGGTTAATTTTCATACCTGGGATGCCTACTAGACTCTTGTTTGGACAGATTTAAGTGAGGAATTCCTAAGAATTACAGGCCTACAATATAAAACAACAAATTTCCATGCAAAACAATGTACCGCTTTGGGTACAAAATTACTGACATAATCAGACCGCCAGGGAGGTTAATAAAAGATGTGTTAAATAACTCATGATTTATCCATAGAGTAAAAACCTATGAAACCATCGAAAGTGATGACATGGGTTTCAGTTTATCAGCATGAAAAAAAAAAAAGGACATATTGTTGAGTAGAAAGAGTGGAATACAAAAATATATTCTCCTGATAGTTTACTTTTGGGGGAGGGAGGGGTGAAGAAATGAGTATATAGAAGAAATTCTCTGAAAATATGGACATCTTAATGTTAGCAAGGTTTACCTCCATGTTTTTTAGTATGTTCCCATATTTTAGGAATTATTTGTAACCAGTATGCCTAACTTTCATGTTTTATAACCAGAAACAAAAAGTATTTAAAAATAAGAAAACAAAAAAGGGAAACAAATGAAGCCCAAAGTTAGTTAAAAAAATAAAATAAAAAGGAAATAACGAAGATCAGACTAGAAATAAATGAAAGGGCTAAAAAGACAATAGAAATGATCAATGAAACTAAGGGCTGGTTCTTTGAAAAGATAAACAAAATTGACAAATCTTTATCTAGACTCACCAGGAAAAAAAGAGATGACTCAAATGAAATCAGAAATGAAAGAGGAGAGAGACGCCACAACTAACACCACAAAATGCAAAGGATCATAAGAGATTACCATGAACAATTATATGCCAACAAATTTGACAGCTTGGAAGAAATGGATGAATTCCTAGGAACATACAACCTACCAAAGCTGAATCATGAAGAAAGAATACATATAAACAGACCAATTACCAGTAATGAGAAACCTCCCAACAAACAAAAGCCCAGTGCCAGATGGCTTCACTGGTGAATTCTACCAAACATTTAAAGAAGAATTAATACCAGTTCTTCTCAAACTCTTCCAAAAGAGAGAAGAAGAGGGAACTCTTCCAAACACATTTTTACAAGGCCAGCATTACCCTGATACCGACACCAGACAAGGATGGTATAGGAACAGAAAATTACAGGCCAATATCTCAGATGAATATAGATTCAAAAATTCTCAAACAGATATTAGCAAATTGAATTCAACAGTACACTGAAAGGGTCATACACCATGATCAAGTGGGATGCTTTCCAGGAATGAAAAGATAGTTCAACACTCACAAATCAATCAGTCTGATACGCCACATCCATAGAATGAAGGATAAAAATCATATGATCATCTCAACTGATGCAGAAAAGCATCTGACAAAATTCAACATCTGTTTATGATAAAAACTCAACAAACTGGGTATAGAGGAAACACACTTCAACACATTAAAGGCCATATATGATAATCCAACAGCTAACATCATGCTCAACAGTATAAAACTGAAAGCTTTTCATCTAAGATCAGAGGATAAAACAAAGGATGCCACTTTATTCGACATAATGTTGGAAGTCCTAGGCAGACCAATTAGACATGAAAAATAAATAAATAAATAAATAAATAAATAAAAGGCATCCAAACTGGAAAGGAAGAAGTAAAACTGTCACTATTTACATATGACATGATATTATTATTATATAGAAAACACAAAAGACTTCACCAAAACACTGTTAGAACTAATAAGCAAATTCAGTAGAGTTGCAGGATACAAAATCAACACAAAAAATCTTGCATTTCTATATGCTAATAACAAAATAGCAGAAAGAGAAATTAAAAAAACAATATCATGTACAGCTGCATCAAAAAGAATAAAATATCTAGGAATAAATTCAACCAAGGAGGTAAAAGACCTGTACACTGTAAACTATAAGACAGTGATGAAAAAAATTGAAGACACAAATAAATGAAAAGATATTCTAGGCTCATAGATTAAAATAACTGATATTTTAAAATGTCCATGTTACCTATTAAATCTACAGATTCAGTGCAACCCCTATCACAATTAAAATGGCATCTTTCCCAGAAATAGAACAAATAATCTTAAAATTTGTATGGAACCACAAAAGACTATGAATAGCCAAAGCAATCTTCAGAAAGGAGAACAAAGCTGAAGGCATCACACTCCCTGATTTTAAACTCTATCACAAAGCTCTAATAATCAAAACAGTATGGTACTGGCATAAAAAGACACGCAGATCAATGGAACAGAATACAGAGCTAAGAAATAAATCCACACATATATGCCCAATTAATTAACCACAAAGGAGCCAAGGATACGCAACGGGGAAAGGGCAGTCTCTTCAATCAATGGTGCTGAGAAAACTGGACAGCCACATGCAAAAGAACAAAAGTGGACCACTATTTTACACCACTGACAAAAATTAAACTTGAAAGTAAGATGTGAAACCATAAAATACCTAGAAGAAAGCATAGGCAGTGCGGTAAGCTCCTTGACATCAGTCTTTGTGATAATTTTTTGGAATTGACACCAAAAGTAAAGGCAACAAAAGAAAAAAAGTCAACAAGTGGGACTACATCAAACTAAAAAGCTTCTGCACAGCAAATGAAACTATCAACAGATTAAAAGGCACCTTCTGAATGGAGAAAATATTTGCAAATCATATATCTGATAATATAAAGTCTTATTAAGACTTATAAATCATATAAAGCCTTATATCACATATAAGACTTTAATATCCAAAATATATAAAGAACTCATACAACTCAATAGCAAAAACCCAAACCATCCTATTAAAAGTGTGCAGAGGATCTGAACAGATATTTTTCCAAAGAAGACACACAGATGGCCAACAGGTACATGAAAAGATGCTCAATATTACTAATCATCAGGGAAATGCAAATTGAAGCCATAATGAGCTATCACCCCACATCTGTCAGAATGCTCATCATCAAAAAGACAACAAGTGTTGGCGAGGATGTGGAGACAAGGGGACCCTTGTGCACTGCTGGCAGGAATGTAAACTGGTGCAGCCACTATGGGAACAGGTATGGAAATTCCTCAAAAAGTTAAAAGTGGGCCGACCGAGTGGTGCATTGGTTAAGAGGTGGCTTGGGACAACAGAGGGGGCCCCGGTTTGGATCCCACATATGAGGGCCAGTGACACTGCCCTCTACAGCTAAGATGCTGAACAACAGCTCAACCTGGAGCTGGGCTGCTGTGAGTCGCCAGCGACATGGCTGCAGCCCCTGTGGCAGTGGGTTGCCATGGGCTACCGTGTGTAGCCGGCAGCCAGCGTGAGCGGCCAGCAGCCTCAGTAAGCGGCTGTCTAGAAGCCAGTGACTGATCTGCTTCACCTGGGAAGAGCACAATGATGGTGCCAACTTGGGCCAGTGAAACAACGTCCTCCACAACTAGACTGAAGAACAAAAGGACAGCAACTTGTCTGTTCCCCTTCCCCCAATTCCCCAGCGCTGTTCCCCTCCCCAAACTCCCCAATTAAAAAAAAAAAAGTTAAAAGGAACTACCTTATAAGCCAGCAATCCCACTTCTGGGTATTTATCTGAAAATAAAAACACTAAACTTGAGAAGATAAATGCAGCATTATTTATAGTAGCCAAGACATAGAAACAATCTAAGTGGCTATCGATGGATGAATGGATGAAGAAAATGGTACACACACACACACAGGAATATTATTCAGCCACGAAAAAGAATGAAATCTTGCCATCTGTGACAATGTGGATGGGCCTTGAGGTCATTATGCTAAGACAGAAGTCAGACAGAGAAAGACAAAAAAGAAACCAAGCTCACAGACAGAGGACAGACTGACGGCTGCCAGAGGCAGGGAGTGGGCATGATGGGGGGAGGGGGTCAAAAGGTACAAACTTCCAGTAATAAAATACGCAAGTCCTGGGTGCATAATGTACAGCATGGTGGCTACAGTTAATAACACTGTATTGCATTTTGGAAAGTTGCTAAGAAGAGTAGATCTTGAAAGTTCTCATCACAAGAAGACATTATATTGTAATTGTATGGTGATAGATGTTACCTCTACTTATTATCATTTTGCAATATATACCTGTGTTATCATTATATTGGATACCTAAAACTAATATGATGTTATATGTCAATTTTACCCCCATAAAAAATAATGTAACAACTCTAAGTGTTTGGATACGGGGTGCCTGGTGGAGTACTCCAGAACAGTGTCTCCAACTCTTGCTGCCAAGCAGGGACTGCGTTTGAGGTGCTTATTCTTGGGACTCAGGCCAGGATTGAATTCCAACCCCCGGTATTACCTGGACACCTACAATGTGCAGGTCGCCATGCTTCCTTATAAGAGAAGCAGCAGCAAGTGGAGATTCTACTCTTGGGAAACAGAGGATTGGGGGTGAGACCAGAATCTCAAGGGCCACATGGTGGAAAACACGTTCTCTTTAACTTTCAGAGACGATTCAGCTGCCTGTAGCTCTAGCTTTGCTGGTTTCCCCCATGCAGTGAGTCTCTTCAGAGCCAGGTCGTTTTTGCAAATAAGCCTGCTTGTAATTGCAAGAAGCTGTGAGTTCCTGTCACGGTATCTTGAGGCCGCCCAGTGAGACCATTCCAGCTTTGGCCTGTGTTGGGCTGGAGGACATTCTCTGACTCATTTAGCCAACAGGGATCCACGGACTGCCTGTTACGGGCCTGGCACAGTTCAAGGCACTGGGGACAAGGCTGGGGATAAAATGCATGAAAATCCGTGCCCTTACGACACATACCTGCTAGATGGAGAGGGCACAAAGAAACGACAATTTAAAATATAGAGAATGTCAGGTGGTGACAGTGCTAAGGATTAAAATAAAGGAGGGAAGGAAAAAGGGAGAGGAAGGGAAAGAGGGGGCAGGAGAGGAGTGGGGGGAGAGGGAGAGGGAGAGAGGGAGGGAGTGTTGTAACTTTAAGTACTATTGTCTCCGAAGAATTTAGCAGACGCAGTAAGACTTCCAAAGGGCATCCCCATGCCTGCCCCAGTCTCTATGTCAGGCCTCATTCAGACTGGTCCTTGAGAGTGACACTTTTTTTTCCTTAGTCAGGTGAGCCAACACATGATCTCTGAAGTGCATTGGGTCTTTAGGTGGAACGGCTAGATGGGAAGATGGAAATCTAGGAGGTGTTTGGGTTAAAGTATAGCTTTCAACTAACCTGGTGTGAGAGCTAAAGCTGGCACTCAGACGGTGCCTTCAGGGACAGAGTAACTGGCCCATAAAGTTTGATCAAGTTCCTGCGCCCTGAAGAGTGTTAGGAGGCTCCAGATGTCTGAGCAAGTCAGCTTTGCCCCAAGGATGACAGAGCACGGGAAAGCAATTCTGCAATGCAGTAGACGTCCAGCAGGGGGCAACAGCTTCCTTCACATTTTCCCAAACTCATTTTCAACACAAAGAGAACGTGAACATTCCTGGATTTAGGAGTGATCAACAATGTCTCTCTCTCTCTCTCTCTCCCGGTTTCCCCTCTGTGACAAGCCCTCCCTAACTTACTAAATTCTCAGCTAGCAGCAACACCTCGACAGAAAGCAAGCAAGGACTCCAAATACATAGGCGTTAACCAGATCCTTCACCCTTCAAGGAGAGCCAGATGCTTGCAAATTCCACCCCAGCCTCAGCCAGCAATCGGCAGGATGACGCCTTAGCAGTTTCCTCCAGCCAGCATCCCACTGGCTCCTACCTGAAGCAGCAGGCAGTCTGACCAAGAGCTGCCTGCAGGAACCAGGGAAAACAGCTTTTTGGCAAAACAAACGGCGGGACTATTAACTATGAGATAATTGTTTGGGGAAATATGACCAGCGCTCGCATCTTTTAATATACCTAGCACTTTATCTGTATTGATCTGCTTCTGCCGAAGAGGAAATTCAGAGTTTATCTACCTGTCTGCGCAATCAAGTGTGTTGCTGGACCCGGTGGCAAATTACAGGGGCCCCACCAGGATCTTGCCTTTTAGGTTCTAATTTCCGCACACACGGCAAACATGAATAATCAGCCAAGTTAATCAGCGCTTGATCTCCCAGGTGCCGTGCATGTCCAATATCCGGATATCAGAACGGCAAGCAGGCAGGAGCAATTGCCAGCTCTCACAGGGGCATGTCCAATGTCAGAGGCCCCACGGTGCAGCTCACACAGGAGGCAGGGAGAGGGGACACGAATATCTCGGGGCCATAAGTGGACATTAACGTCAGGAAGACAATGTGACTAAGCAATTCTAACAGCTACCTGGACAGCCAATCCCGAGGCCCGCTCGGGCAGGGTAAGCGCTCTTGGGAAATCCTCTCTCAACCTACTTACTCGTAGAAAGTCGTCCATCCCGTTTCGTCACTCTTGGTGGCCAGAAGGCCCGTGTTCCCATCATAGGTCATGAGGCCCAGCTCCAGGTTCTGGGTGGACACGACTTTGAGACCGCCACTCGTGCCCACCGTGAGGGTGATGATCTGGTTGTCGGGCATGAGCAGGTGGCGGGGCGTGCCGCTGCTGTCCCGACGGATCTTCAGGGAATTGCCATTATTGTCAATCAACTCAGTGACATCGTTGTCAGCGCTGTATGTGAAATTGTACAGGTACTCCCCCGTCACCAGGCTCACGGTGTACTGGTGGATGCCGTCGGCATTGAAAACATATAACTCCTGTTCTCCGGGGGACGCAGCCTCGTATTGGTTGAAAGCGTTGAGAACGGGCTTGTTCTTGCTGACCGCCCGGATCCGAATGTTTCCGAGGTCTGCGATGTAGATGGTCCCGTCTGGGGCGACAGCTAAGGACGACGGGGCGTTCAAGATGGCATCAGTCGCGTAGGCATCGTCTCCTGAGTAGCAGTTGCAATTGACGTCGTTTTTGCAGTCGCAGTCAGAGGCTGCTCCCGCTAAAAGGCAGATCTCCCCGTTGGTTGTGACCTGGCGCAGACGGTTGATCTTCTTCTCATCCGTCTCGGTGATGTACAGGACCCCAGTGTGAGAGATGGCAATGGCGCTGGCCGACTCTAGAGCGGAGTGAATGGCCAGCTTGCTGAGCGAGTAGTCAATGCCGGGGACCTGGCAGTGCATGGGGCGCCCTGCGATGATGCTGACCTGGTGGTTCTCCGTGATGCGAAGGATGACGTTATTTTCCAGAACATACAGCGAGTTGTCCATGGGGTTGACAGCAAGGTCTGTTGGCCACTCCAGGCGAACCTGTGGATGACATGGCTTCCAATTAAAGAGCAGCCTCTCACATGCCCAACGTTTAATGATGTAGGGCAGTTAGACTGGTGTTATGAAGCTGGGGAAAAGGGCGTTTTTACTAACACCTGTACGAGAAGTGCCCATCATCAAACCGTCTGCCCACTGCCCATGTTGATGTGCACCACGGTGAAGAGGAGGCTGTGTAACCAACATCTCCTACTATAATAGCTATATCACCTGTGCCTAGACTAGGTCACCAGCTCTACCCACAATGCTCTTCTCAGCCCCAGATGACTGGGCCAGGGTCAGAGTCATCACATACGGTTGGGCAGGTAGCCCACTGCATAAGGGGCTAGTGTGATCCAGCCCACACTCTGCTCATCAAGCCATGGGCCTGAGGAGGCTACATTCATTTAGAGGTGCGCCCTTTATCGAGTTCACAAAAAGGAGCCACGCAGTTGGTGGCCCTGACCCAAGGGCAGCCCATGCACAGGCTGGCCAGAAAGTGAGAACTTGAGGGTTTGCTTAAAGAAACAAAACGGACCAGACCTATTCCTTTTCTGCAGCATTTGAAATGAAAATCTCAGGAGCAAGTTGTTAGTTTGTTGTAGAATTTGAGCTGAAATTAATGAGATTGACTGAGGGCTGAAAATGCCCTTACAGGAAGGGTACACATATACCCCAGATTGTTTGCAATCCATCTAATAAAGCCTGGTTTCTTTTGCTGTACATTTAAGTGAGTCTGTGTTCTCTGCCACCGGAGGAGCCCGGACTAAGGAGTATCGCTTGGGGGAATATTGTAGCGGGCTCTGCTGTAGTTATTACTGCACAAAGTAAAGGTTTATATAGTGAGGATGCAATCATTTGAGATTAACAGGGAAGTTCTGATTGACACATAACACTGTACGGTACATTCTCAGACCTGCAGTAATGATGGGGAAGAGAGGTAATTACACAGTAACTCCTACCCTGTAATCTGCCACGGCTGGAGGATGTCACCAGCTCCACTTCTCTGAGCAGAATCAACCAAGCTCTCTCTCTTTCCCTCTCATTTTTAGCTGACATGTCCCATTCCATCTTGCTATCTAGTTCACCTCAAGCCTTCCGCAAACAAACTTGTGATCTGTATGGATATCTCCTTCCCCCACCCCACTTCCAATTCAAACAGGTTGCTGGTGATGCCAGGCCAAGACCCAGGTATGGCTTAGTGATGAAAAATAAGAGAGTCCGACCTGGGCCACATCCATGCTGGAGTCGCAGCTCAGTGGCCGGACGGCAGTGAGGTCATTGGAGCCCAGCAGGGTGGAGATGATCCCATTCTGGTCGACCTTCCGGATCATGGTGGCATCGACAAAGTACATGAGCCCATTCTTGTCAACGGCGATACCTGAGCAAGACGACAGGGGAGTGTGTCTCTCAGGAAGGAGCAGAGCTGGTGGGGATGCCCCACTGGGCCCTATCTTCTTGGGCCTAGCCGGGTGGGTCAGCACACTCAGAGCAGAGGCTCCTAACCTTCTAAGATGACACCCTTTCTCATGAGCACTGTGCTGAGAGATCTGCGTAATTCCTGGGGTGCTGGCTGCATCGCCACCCAACGGAAGAATGAACCTTGGGCTGCAAATGAACCAAGGCTGCAAATGAATGAATGGGGAAATAACTTTGCATCTGCTGCTGTCTTTAGGAAAGAAGTGATTTCCCAAGTTCATTGCTTGAAAAATCATCGGTAGTAAATTACTTGAATACCCTTCACATCTGACTGCAACAATGAGGGTGAGAAACAATGCTTCTTATGGTCACAAACTCCCAATTCAGAATATATCCTCCAGGAAGCACTCCCAATTAAGCCTGGACTCCACTTAGCACACGGATGCCCTGGGGCAATGCAGGTCCTAGCACTCCCCCACGGCCCCGTCCATTCCTGTAAGGCGCAGACAGCAGACAGAAGCTTCTATTCCTTTTGCATCTTCACCCCAGGGCCTAAGCCCAAGACTCCTCCCCATCCTTCATCCACGCTACCTGCTGCTTTCATGGTAGCAAAAAATGCTAATGAGTTGGACCCTCAAAGGACTGGTCCTTAACCTTGAGTATCCTTAGTCCCAGCAGAGGTCCATTAATTTCAAGAACCCCTCCCACCAATCCCAGGTCCTTGGAAATTATACCCATTCTTAATTGCTACCATGTATCAGGCATTTACAAAATGCCAGGCACTGTGCTTTAGACTTGATACATACTTGTCTCACGGAAACTTCTGGGAATGGCGGGAGGCCACCCCACGGGACTCTGTTCTGTCTCTAGCCCACATAGCTGGCGCTCAGGCTCATGGAGCTAATGTTTCCTTCTAGAAGCAGCCAGGAATCTCCAGGACCCATCACCCCTCTTTCCATTTGTAGCATATGTGGGTGATGAAGTTTACTTCACGTAAACAAGTTTTTTAAAAAACACTCACCCACGCACCACAGCAATCTAACAGAGTTAACTTATTCTAGGGAATGCTGTGTTTGGGGGTGCCCGGGCTGAGTTCATTCAGTTCCAAGAAGAAGAAAGCCCGGCTTATGGTGGGCTCTCTCTGGGGCAGCCTTTACCTCGAGGGCTCATAAGGGTTGCGTCCACGGCCTTCCCTCCATCCCCGCAGCGGGCTTCATCAAAGGGCAAGCATTGCTCCCCGGTTCCTGCCACGACTTCCGAATTCCCAGCCAGGTCTTTTGCGCCACTCAGAGACTTCACTCGGTAGATGCGCCGACTGTTGGTATCAGACACGTAGAGAGAGCCAGACACGGGGTCGACTGCCAAATAGTATTTGTGTGCTGGGTTGTTGCTTTAGGAGAAGAAGCACAGAGAGCAATGAGAAGGGGCTGTGCAGCTGACCTGCCGGCTCAAAGAGATGACAAAAATCCTAGCAAGACTCTAACCATTTCGAGTGTCTTTCCACTTTAGTGAACTGGAAAGAATCTAACATAATAACTTAGTGTTCGAACACATCATGGTTTTTAGCTACTTTTAATTGGACTTCAACTCCTCATGCTGTCAGAGAAGCCGTTCTTTCCCATCATGCTAAAATACCATTGCTTCCTTTAGCCAGTGCGTAGGAGCCCGCTTTGGTCATGCTTCTGCAGCTGTGTTCTGGGTGTCAGCCTCCTTGATTTGCCCCTGTGGGCTTAATACGTTCTGAAGGGGATTGAGGAGCACCTCTATAAGACCTGTTCTCCTTTGAATCTGTGCTTCCTCAGTGCTTCTGAGGTACTAGACCATTAAGTGCTTCCAGGGGCAACCTGGAGTTTGCCTAACTTTGTAATGGGAGGCTCTCCAGGGCCGTCCTTAGTCCCCAGTCTCAGGGCTTTCTAGTGTTCCTCAGGATGGATACACATAAAGTTGCTGATAACACATCCAGAATCTGAATTACTGGGGTTGGAGATACAGTTTTTAAATCTTGGGTAACAGTGAGGTCACAGGTAAGCACCAGGCTTGGCCAGGGCCCTATGCCACCCTAGGAGATAAACGGTGTGTGAAATGTGATTAGGAAGGCGTTAAGCCTCAGAGACCTGGCCCTCTTTCTCTGCCGTGTGTCTAGGTGTCCTGTGTGTTGCTGACTGGGGCAGGGTCAGATGTGCAGACTGGGCTGAGGATTAAGACACAGGAAACTCTCAAGTCCACTCTGACTCAGCTGGTGACCTGGGGTAAGTCTTGTGGCCTAGCTGGGTCCTAGGTTTCTTACGTGGGTAATGAAGACATCCAATCAGACCATCACTCACGTCCCTTTTGGCTCAAATCCTGCAGTTTCTTCCCTTTGCCGTGTCAGTCCCTGGCTGGAGGTTGACGCCAGAATGAGTGCTCACGCCCTTCCCATGCTGGTTATTAAAATCACTGCCTCTAGGGTGCAAGCAGCGGGTGCCACTGCGCCCCAGTGTGGTAGACCAGGCTCTGTGCCCATGCCTACAATGAGTGCAGGCCCTTTTCTCCCCTACCACAAATGTAAAATGATAGGAATAGAGGAGCTGGAAGAGGTGAAGAGAACGTGAGGGCGATGACAGTGTTGGATGCATTTGTCCTGGAGATGCCAGCTGGTAAATTACTAATTAAAACACCACCATTTGGGTTCTGCCCCTGATTTAAGGAAGAAAAGAAGTAGGAGGCTATTTTTAGGAACAATTTGTGACTCGAGACCATCTTTAATTCCAGCTTCTCCTCAGGTTGCTATGAAGACACATAATTGAACTAGAAGTCAAGGTCTTCTAAAATTCCAGCTCAGGTAAGTAGTTGGAAAGAGTGGGCTACGTGGACGCCTCCCCTCCCCTTCCCTCATCTTTCTTTTTTTTCTTTTTTTTTTTTGGCTATTAAGTCTTTAGAGAATGTCCATATATGCAAAATAAATTAGGGCAGGAAGGGAAAAATCCATGCCATCTTTTAATTAGATGCTGCGCTTTGTTGCTGAATGAAGAGTAGCTGGCATGGTCAGTGGGAGGATCAGGGCATTACACATCTGTGCCTATCTGTGAGCAAGATAATTAATTCTGGACTTTCTAGGGAGCCCAGTTCAAGGAGGCTTTTCAAAATCTCTGGCAAAAGAGCAGACAGTTGAGGGTGTGGGGTCAGTTTTTGCCAGGGGCCCACTCTTCCCCATGGCCTCTTACTCATTCCAACCAAGATCGTTGCACAGAAGCTCGGACAGATGGACACCCATGGTTCCACTGTGGCTATGGTGAAGGTTAAATGTACTAAGTGAGTTTGAAGGGCACTGCAGCTTCTTTTTTGATTTGTCCCAGTTGCACTGCCTGTAACCAGCCAATTTAGGGGTGCCTGAGAAGAGGGAGGCAGAGGACTCCGCCTATGCATGGCTTTCCCACTGACTTTGATGATCTTGTACAGGTAGACTCTACTCTTTGTCTAATTTTGACCTGACATCATGAAGAAGCCCCTTCCACGTTTCATCTCAAGGCATTCCCTCGAGTATTAAAATACACTGCTTTGTTTTCTCTCCTCTTCCAAGTAAAAATAAGGTCATTTTTCGTCCAGAAGAGCTTATGTTACATCCATTTCAGTGCACCCTGGGGCAAGTTGGCATTCTCCTAACTCTGTAATGGGAAGCTCTCCAGAGCCATATGCACATGGATGTGTGTTGTACACTGTGTATGTGAACGGTACCGGTATGGTTTTCAATAACTTCGGAGCAACTGAATGACAAAGGCTACTGATTTAGACCAAACGTACTTTGTCTACACCCTTCATATAACTTAAAAGTGATTTAACTCCATGCAAACCCTCCATGCATCTGACTGTTGGATTCATTCTGACCAGCAGATTGGCAATTAACTTGGTTTTTTTTTTTGAAATGACCATGTATCCAGGGGAAAAAAAATCATTAATGAGTTGAAAATGAGTTTTTGACCCGTTTCCAGTTCATTAAAGCTTTTGTGAACCCAGTCCAGCATTTACAAAAGCCAGAAGTTTGCCTCAACTGTTGAGCCCAATTATGGACCATACTGAGCAGTCGGGATAAAAGTTCGCTGAGGGTTCATTATCTTGCTCTTGCATCTCCCGGAAATTCTAATTACTGTCAGCTTATTGGGTTGCTTTTTGACTGCGTTTCATAATTGCTAAAGCTTATCATATCCACAACACACAATTAGCACATAAAAAAAGTTACTATATTTGGTACATAGAAATATATAACATTATACAAGAAGCACGAAACAAAAAGCAAACACAAGGAAGCAAACGAACCATATCAAATTACATGGGAAAGAGTTTTTTGTCTTACCTATGTTTAAACTCTTTATTTCTTTATAGAAAGAAAACAGAAGGAAAAAGAACAAACAGTTAGCTGAAGAATTGATGATAAAGCAAACATAACATTTTCATTTCTTATATAAAGGGTCCCCCAAAAGGCAGCATTTATCTTTTTTTTTTCTCTCCTAGCTGACAGCTGCTGGCTCAATTTCTTGGGAAGCACCCCTGATTTGGGATGCCTTCCAGCCATTGAAAAAAATCTAGATAAGAATGCTTGAATTCTCAGATCAGTAAAGTGGCTGTCACGTGACACAAGTGGCAACAGGTGTGACAGGTCTTCTGGCGAGTGAAGAAATGGCAAGCTAGGGACCTCGTGAGTGCCAACACCTATTGACTGGTGGTGGCTGCTGGGAGGGCGGAAGGAGAAAGATTCTAAAGCCAAATTCTCAGCTGTCAAGAGCACTGGGGCTCATTTGCAATGTCTGCCCTGGGTGTTGGGAGAAAGCCCGGTGTCACCTGGGCCACCTACTTGACATCGGTGCATTACAGGGTAGAGTCACTACCATCCAAGAAAGACCCCCTGACCACACCCAACTGCAGTGTGACACTGTTGAATACTGAGAGTCTCAGCCACTTCTTGTCCCTGCTCCCTGCCACCTTCCCTCTCCCCATCTCACTTGCATGTGTGGGACCCCAAGAGTGCATTCTTTCTTATAGATAACATCCATCAATGAAATTCATAGGTAATAACATCCTCCTGCAATTGGAGCCAAAGACTCCGATTACCATTCCTTCCTGGGAAACTAGTAAAAGTTTTGCCATTTTTTTTTCTTTTAAAAACAAAAACACACATCGATTTCAACAGGAAAGCGGCTAAAAGTTAAGCACATTAAGGAGAAGAGAGATGCTAGGTCCTCAGGTAAAGAGGACTGCTCGCCCGCCATTCCTGAGGCTTCTGGCTGAGGTGGAAGGACGCCTGACCCCTCTTTTGCTTCCTGCTGAGGGAGGAGGTGTCAGTAAAAGAACAAAGAGGGTTTAATGCCCTGATTCCTGCATAGGTGCAGCTCAGGCCTCTGCTGGGGGCCATCATTAGTGGTGGGTTTGCACAGGGATTACATTTTTATATTTTATTCCAACGTGTTAGTTTTTGCAGAAAAAAAAAGTTAATTAAATGATGCTGATAACTCCTGAGCTCTGACTGACATAGTGCAATTTAAGATTCATTCTGCAAAGCCTGGTGTGTCAGAGTGGCAGCCGGGAATTCGCGTGTCTATTTTATATTGCTTAATGAAAGTGAAATGTTATCTGCCACCAGTGGTAGTCATATTTGGCTCTTAATTATTGCGATATCAATTCCACTTTTTTTTTTCAGTCAAGGTTTTGTGAAAAGACTGGATGGGATTGGGGGCCGCAGACCTGACCTACTTCTGGCCTTCAAACATCTGCTTTAAATTGATTAATATAATGTCCATGTTGGGGGAAGGTGAAAGGCTTGGGTGGGGGACCAAGTCACCGAGAGTGCAGAGTCCAAATGACCAGAGACATATGAGCTTTGGAGGAAGGCTGAGGTCACAGCTCCTCCAACCCAGGGCCATGAGCAGGGTGGGTGCTTAGCAGGCAACAAACCAAAATGACAGCACCATTGAGTCATTCTATGTAATTAAGCACAGGTGCCCTATTCACAAGGGACAGGCGTGGGCTTTGTGTCCATGGCCTCAATAACACCAACCCTTTAAGCATACCCTTTGAGGAAAAAGTGGTGTCTCCGATTCAAGAATTGAGATGGATTAGCTCTTCACACTGTGGAGTCTCAATGACTCCTCTGCGAAGCCTTCAGGGCCTCTCCAAGCATTACCAGCTTGCCTTGCAGAGCTCTCATCAGGCTGTCTTGTGATTTATGTGTGTATGCTTGTCTTTGCTGTGAATGGAAGTGAGTAAGTAAATATGGGCTTGACTTCTTTCCATACTGTTGATTTTTAGTAGAGAGCCCTGGAGAGAGTAAAGCTGGGAAAATGGGTTCTTGAGTGATGGAAGAAAGGAATGAGGCCACTTCCCTCAGTGCGGGGCAGACCCTGCCCTGGACTAGTTCCAATCCCTCATGTCTTACTCAGAACCACACAGCTGCAATCAGCTGTTGTCTCTTTGTAGCCCTACGCCCTCTGTGCCACAGAATAGGGTGGAGTTGGAATGGCCACATGTTTTGTTTATTTTAGTGCTAACCAAAGAAAAGCGAGTTGGGATACACTTGATTTAGTTTTAGGGAGATGTGCTTATGTGGCCCATACGTCCTCCTTGCACCTAGTTACACTATTGCTAGCCATTCTGGTATAGGAATGACTTTCAGGAACGCTCCTGCCCTATTGTACGGATTCACCCAGCATCATGACGGGAAGTGCAATACCTGATGTAGACGCTGCATTTCACTATTATTAGGACATCAATGACAAACTGATTAATCAAACAGTATTTACATTATTCACTGTACGAGAAAACCTGAAATGCCCAGAAATACTATGAAAGAAGCTTAAGTTTTTCCAAAATTTACAATTCTAACAATTTTTATGATATCACCCTTCATCAATTGTAAACGCGAAAGAAAAATTTCTAATTTATCAATAATTTAAAACAAATAGTGACCAGCTCTACTGGAGGAAAGGCTAAATATCTCTCTATTCTTTCTATAGATAATGACGTTACAAAAATCATTGTCACATTAAAAGATGATCAAAGAGGATGCAGCCAAAAAGTGTAGGCAAACAAGTATCACGGAAGTGGGAGAGTAATTAATTAGTAAACAAATTAAGTTATTTGTCTGGGTTTTGTGATGTTTGCACTAATTGCCAGCTTTTCAAAATTTACAATTTGTTTTGGTTTCTTTTCTCACCCTACATCATCTCAGTTTTGTTCCAAACTCGCGTTAAGATTCAGCCCCCTTGAAGCCTGGCACTGTCTTCGGTAAAAGAGCTTTGAAAACTGCCAAGAGCTGTCCAAAATTTTATGGGGATATTGTTGTTGTTGTTATTCTGGGTAGGGTGCTGTGCTACATTTTGCTTCCTGAGTTTATACCCTGACTATACACGGAAGGTATTTGCTCTCTAAACAGAAGCATATTCCTCCCTAACATTCTACTTTGGCATCAAGCGGGGCATGTCCTGGCTGAAAGTCTCAGGCAAAGCTGGCCTTTGCCTGGTGAGGTTTACTTCCACGTTCTGCTGCCCTGGACGTCCTTCCCAGGCCCCCCTTCGCCATGCCTCCTCCCTCTCCAGCACACCTGGGCTGGGCAGGTCCCGTCCCTGAAGATCTTCCCTGATGCGGCGATGCTGCTGACTCACCTTGATAACACCACCAGAATCTCAGCACGGGGAAGTGTTTTAGTTGGAAAAAAATATATTTACTATTCTAACTGTATATTTGGAACATGAAAAAAAATTGGAATTTCAAACATTATGGAAAGTGTGAGATTCTTATTTTTACCAAAAGGGGCCAAGTTAAGAAAAGGCAGAGAGACACTGTCCCATCCTTTATCATTTGCTGCCTTATGTTAGGGTCCAATTCCTAAGGCATTCTCCGCTTGGAGAGGAAGGAAATATTTTTCTCTATGACAGAAATGCACCCTAAGATGTTAGTGACTGACACATTTACTCTGCTCCACAGGGCTTGGGTTTTCCAAGGACCACCGGGAGAGGACGATGGTTATGAGAAGAAAAACGGCTGCTAATGTGGGCTATCAGGCTTTTTGGGGAAGCGAGTGTTGAAAATGTCTTGAATGCTGGTGGAATCAGATCACACAGGTGATAACCATTTTGGCATCAGAAGTTTTTCAAGTGTGTGGAACTCTGCCCCTCTATGTTTTGGATCAGCAAAGGAAGCAGGAAGGGAGAAGGACAGCGAAAGGACCATGAGGACGTTTAAATACAGTTCTGGTTCAGGGGCTCAGCTCTGGGGCGGGTAAGCGAGATAGGGATGGGCACCGGCTCCCGAAATTGAATCATTCAGCTGCCAACTCACAATGGAGAAAAGACATAAGCGAGACAGGTCTCGCCCTCCCCCCACCCTCCCCCTCTGCTGGTTACTGTTTTGAAGAGCAGCGGGATTGACAGCCCTTTGTTTTCAGGTATGTAGTGGGAAGAAAAGAAGAATCACACCAGTGTTCTTGTAAAAGCTTAACTTCTAATCGTCTCTGGATACCTGGCTGATGAAAGCAAGAACATGTCCTAAGGCGGTTAAAAAGGAATAAAAAAAAACAACACACAGCACATCGAGGAAATTGGTAGATACACTCCCTCCAGCTATCTCAATGTCACCCTGTGGGCGTGGCCTCTACAACTTAAGAGACTTGGAATCAACAGCAAATTCCAACAAAAGGGAGGACACTGGTGTGTCTCCTTGAACTCAAGCAATGTGTCTTGAGCCCCTGGTGTGGACCAGACACTGCTCCTGGCATCAAGTGCAAAGATGCCAAAGGTGCCTGCTCCGCAGAAGTAAGCACACGAGAGCCTTAAGGACCTGCACAGACATGAGAGAAAAACAAGGCAGTAAGCACAGTTACCTTTTGTGGAAGATTAGCGTTACGTGACCCAGAAGAGGGCGAGAATTATTTCTGCTAGGGACATCGGGCTTCAAGGAAAAGGAAGGCCTTCAAAAGGAGTACTACAGACGGACATGATGCCGCAGATTAGGTACAGAAGGTATGTTAAGTCGAGTGAGCAGCATGAGTCAAGGTTTGGAGGCGGGAATGCAGCTGGCAAGTGCAGATCTGGCTCAGGGCAGGAGGAGCAGGGACAAAGAAGTAAGGGCCAGATGTGGAGGGTGACAAATGTCAGACTAAAAAGTGCGACCCTCATGGAAAAGCGTGATGCTACCTCCGCCCCCTTCCTGCTCCTCCCATGGCTCTGCATTGCCTGCAGGATGTCTGAGAAGAAGATGACTCTCCTGGGATAAAAAGGAAACACACATCTTGGAAAGGGGACCTACTTGGGGGTCTCTAGGGGAAGCAGTTTGTCTAATTGTCATTTGGGCAGCTTGAGGATTATCCATTTTGCCCCCTTCTTCCTCTCATTGTTCGTCTGTTGATTATTACACGCTCTTGCTCCGCTCCATGGCCTCCCCAGTCTGTGTTTCCATGATGGTTGGCTGTTGGCTCTTCTAGGACACTCAGCTTGACTTGGCTTTGCTTGCCTAGGAACCCAGCTCTCACTCTGGTTGTTCTTTGAGTCTGGCTTTCATCGCTGTCTGGACCCTCAGAGCCCAGCACAGGCATGGCTCACCGTCACGCTCAGTAAATGTCCCCTGGATCACTGAGGTTGCAACCTTCTTGAGGTCCAGCTGGGGTTTTCTGCTTTCTTTTCACTTCTCCTGGGGCTTGGCACAGTCTCAGCTCCCAAGAATACTGAGCAGCACTTGCTGATGGCTGGATCACTGATCTCTCTCCCAGAATGGGTCTCAAAGACGTGAAGAAGAAGTGCAACCTGCTACTTCATCTAAGCCCTTCACCTGGCCACTGAGGCTGCTTCAGGAGGCACCGCTGTCCACTCGGTTGCTCAGGTCAATATCCTAGGCATCACCCTCGTTTCTTCTCTCTCTCACTCCTCCCCCCATTCCTTACGTGTGATCCATCAACAATTTCTGTCAGATTTATCTCGAAAATACATCCCAATAGGAACACTTCCCATCTCCCCTGCTATCACCCTAGTTCACGTCACCATCACCCAAATCCTAGACTATTGCTACAGGCTCCCTGTGGGTTTTCTGCTTTCACTCTGCATCCCTACAGTCCATACTCCACAACGTAGCCAGAATCATCTTTAAATAATGCAAATCACATCATATCAACTCCACCTCGCTTCTACCTCAACCTCCAATAGCTGTCCATTGCAGTTTGTCAACCTGGTCCGTAAGACCCTGAAGCATCCGTCCCCTACGGACCTCTCTGATGACCACCTCGAACACACTCTGCCCTGAGCTCACCACCCTCCAGCCATATTGGACTTCTATCAATCCCTCAGATAAACCAGGTTATTTGCTTATGTTACGGTGTTAGCACAACTTCTCTCTGCCTGGAATGCTTTTCCCCACATCTTCACATGGCTGCCCACCTGGTTCAGAACCCATCGTAAATGTCACCTAGTATGAGAGGTTTCTCTGACCATTTTATCTTAATGGCGCTTCCTGTCCTGCCCCGCCTCCCGTCCCTATTTCTTACTCTGTTAGATTTTCCTTAAAGTGTTTAATGCTTTATTTGAAATTATTATTTTTGTATTTGTTGAATACAACTTGAAATTATTATTTTTTGTATTTGTCCACATGATTTGAAGTTCCCTATCTGACAACTAACCCAACAACGAGGGCTTTGCTTGTTCCCACGTTTTTACCCCCCTGGCTAGAGTGTCCCCGGCGCAGTATGCATTCACCAAATATTTGTTGAATAAATTTTCCTCCTTATTTATAGACTTCATTTCTCCCTCTACTTACAGATTCCTCTCTAGGTTTGAGGGCCTAATCAACTTTTCTGGGAAGGAAGTCTCTGACAAAGTGTCCAGCATGGGGGAGTCTGGACTTCAGACTTAGCAGCAAGCACTCACTAGCCAGGAGGAATCTCCCAGGGGTGGGCGGTACCTAGTGTGGCCTATGAAGTAATTCTAAGTCAGCTAGTGAATATGCAAAGATCCAGAGAATTTACAGACAGAGAGCACATAGAGGTGGCTTAATATAAACATCTGAATTGGTAAAGGAACATTAGTGGTTCTCAAACTTTGATAAGCATCAGAATCCTCCACAGTGCTTGTCAAAGATAAAAGACGCCTTGGCTTTTCTCCAGACTTACTGAATCAGTGCCTCTGGATCTGTATTTTTTAAAAAGTGCTACTTTAGAAACCACAGAAATGGACCAACAGCATAAAGTAGCTGTTCTTTCACACTCTGGTATGTATTAGATTCACATGTGGAGGTTTTCTAAAACACAGTCACCCAAAGTCCCACCCCAAGCACCATGACTGAAAGCGTTCACCCTTGTTTGCAAGTCAGGTGTTGACAATTGTATCAAACACGTGTGTGATGTTTTACAGATACACAAAGCATTTCCCCAACTCCTTATTGATTCCAGGCCTAGGTTTCAAACCTCAGCCTATCACATGGAATACATACTCTCTGGAGAACCCGAGATGTGGCCACCACTTACCCAGGGAAGCTTTGCAGCACTGGAAGCAACAGAGCAAAGAAAAAAAAAAAAGGTCTTCTGTCTGGCCACTCACCGTAACTCTAAGATGCTGGTCACGTTTCGCGAGGGAAAGATACGCCGAATGTAATTGAAGTCGCCGACGAACAGGCTTCCATCAACTCCGACAGCCAGGGCCACGGGGGCCAGAAGCTTGTTGCCGTCAGCAAGGCCGTTGCAGCTGGGACAGGAAATGCTCCGGCGGCGGCCGTTGCCCATGATGCTGGTGATGATAGCGGGCTGCTGGGTCAGGAACTGGTTCTCCCCAGTGCCCTTGTGTAGGATTCCTGGGGGGCAGTAAGTGAGGGTGGTTACTGCGGGCCTTTGGGGGGGACACTTCTATCAGCCTATTGAGGATGAGGAGAAGTGACAGGGAGAAGAGAAACAGTAGGAAACTTCGACTGTGGGGAGCTCCCCAATTTCCTCACGATGCTGAGAGAGCTGTGATAGAAATGGGTAAACCCCAAGGCTATGGTATTGGGTGAGATGAGGTTTGCCTAGGTAATAGAAGAAGACTTCTGAAGTACAGGAGGGTGGATGGTCTGGGAAAAGCAGCCCCAACGTTCTTTGACATTTAAAAGGAGAATGCAGGAAAACCCATGAGTACTTTCATGAAAAATGGCTGAGGGAAGGGGAGGGGCCACCACATGAATGCCAAGGCTGGAAAGAAGGTTCCGGAGGAGAGACTGGGCTGACTTTGAAAAAGAAATGTGCTCACATACCACTTTTAACATTGAGGATGTGGTGTTTGTCCAGGGACCAGCCACCGAGGTTGGAAGGGTCCAGCTCAAATCCCTGAAGGACAGCTGTCCTTTTCTCCCACAGGATTAGACTAGGGCAGGTCTCATATTCAAACCCGACAGACACTGAAAGATAAAAGGGGGTGGGGCAGGGTGGGAGGCCAGAGAGTTGACTTGATTATTCTAGAACTCTCCAGCAGGAACAGGAAGTGCGTGTTTGTGGTGGTACAGATTCCATTCCCAAAACCCACTCAAGGAGGTGGGCTGATTGTTCTTCTTGTGATCCCACACAATATTAAATTCAAATTTCAAGGTAAGCTCAACCTTGAAACTTTACACAGTGGTACTCTGTGGGGATGGTAAGAGCTTTCCAAAGAACAGCTGGCTTTCAGAAATGACCCTGGTGATGTGGAGGGAGGAGATGAATCACTTAAAAACCAATACAACTCGCCTTCAGAGATGGACAGGGGAGTGCTTCTCTCATGCCTGCTGTTCACGGCATGCATTTATTCTATTTTGCGTTACTCATTTTCACTCACTAGGAAAAAGGCCTATGGAAGCCTAGTGGCTCATTTCTAAGGAGATTCTGGAGGCAACAGATCATATACGTTAAGGCACTTTGTATGTTCACTCAGGATTCCAGGCAGTGGTAGGCGAAATAGGCACAGAGACACAGCCTGTCAATTACATGGCAAGTCAGTGGGGAACAGGATCCCAAACCTGCAAAAATCCTGCATTTGCCAAATGGACGACAGGAGAGAGAGGCGGGAGATGAAGGACTTTAGTCCTAATTCACTTCCCCATGTGTAATACGGAGCGAGTGAAGCCTTCATTTCTCATAGAGATGTGGTAAGGACAGATGAGACAAAACGCCGAGGTGCCATGTATTTTTAATTGGAACGCAGCTTTAGAAATATGAGGCATTGTTATTATTGCCGCTCGTACTACATTAAATTCTTAACTATGTGTGTCACCTTTGGGGATTCTCCGCAGCTTCTTTTAAATCCTGAGATATAGGAGTGTCGATATGAATGCAAGATACATTTTATCTTTTTCAGAAAAACCATACATTTCCTAGCTTGTCCTCTGAAAATTCCAAGAAAGAGTGACTGACCCAGCAGCAAAGAGAATTGCTAGTGCCTGGCTTGTGGTCTTGAAATATTATTTCTCATTAAAAAGAATCAGGGCTCCTTGAAGAAATGGCCAGAGCAAGAAATGAACAAGATGAGGCCAGGCCATTTTATCACACCAGGTAGAAAGTAAGGAATAAAAATCTACTGGGGTCATGTTGAAAAAATTTGGGAGTCAGCTTGAAGAGGCTTCCATTGACCAAAGATGGGACAATTTGACCATTAGTAAAGATAACTTCAATGGATTGAAACATATTAGAGACATTTCACTTTATGAGTTCATAATGTATTAAAAAAAACCCCAAACATTAATTTGCCACCATTAGAGGATGTTAAAAAATGCCTTATTATATTGAAAACTAGTAAATAAAGGGAAAGAATTAAGCTTTTATCCTTTCTTTATTTGAACTGTACTTAAAATAACCAAGTAGTTAATGAGAATGTATCTCTATATAAAAGTATTCTAGCTAATAAGTAAAGAAGCAATTATAGGATTATTATAAAATATCATTTTGCAATCCCTAATGACCTAATGGATCGAGCCAATGAGCATCAATGGCTGCTAAAACCACCAAAGGATAGACAAGCTGACATTAGGTGTCTCCAGGTGAAAGAAGACAGCACCGTCTATCAAGTTGTCCCTCTAATAAAAAAAAAAAATCAAAGAATACCTAGGAATAAATTTAACCAAGGAGGTGAAAGACCTGTGCACTAAAAACTGTAAGACACTGATGAAAGAATTTGAAGAAGACAGAAATAAATGGAAAGATAGTCAATCCTCATGGATTAAAAGAATGTTGTTTAAAAGTCCATATGACCCAAAACAACCTACAGAGTCAATATAATCCCTATTGAAATACCAATGGCATTTTTCACAGAAATAAAGCAAACAATCCTAAAATTTGTATGGAATCACAAAAGACCATGAATAGCCAAAGCAACCCTGAGAAAGAAGAACAAAGCTGGAGGCATCAAACTCCCTGATTTCAAACTATAAATATATTACAAAGCTATAGTAATCAAGATAGTATGGCACTGGCATAAAAACAGACATGCAGATCAATGGAACAGAATAGAGAGCCCAGAAATAAACCCATGCCTATATGGTCCATTAATTTGTGACAAAGGATCCAAGAATATACAGTGGGGAAAGGACAGTCTCTTCAATAAATGGTGTTGGGACAAGTGGACAGACACATGCAAAATAATGGAACTGGACAACTATCTGACACCATACACAAAAATTAACTAAAAATGGATTAAAGACTAGAATGGAAACCTGAAACCATAAAACTCTCAGAAGAAAGTAGGTGGTAAACTTCTTGACTTTGATCTTGGTGATGATTTTTTTGGTTTTGACTGAAAGCAAAGGCAACAAAAGAAAAAAATCAACAAGTAGGACTACATCTAACTCAAAAGCTGCTGCACAGCAAAGGAAACCATTAGCAAAATAAAAAAGCCATCTACCGAACAGGAGAACATATTTACAATCATGTATCTGATAAGGGGTTAATATCCAAAATATATAAAAACTCACACAATTCAATAGTAAAAAACAAACAAAAAGTTCAATTAAAAATGGATAGGAGATCTGAATAGACATTTTTCTAAAGAAGACATATAGATGGTCAGCAGGTACGTGAAAGGGCGCTCAACATTACTAATATCAGGGAAATGCACATAAAAAACAATGAAATGCCATTTCACACCTGTTACAATGGCTATTCTCAGAAAGATAAGAAATAACAAGTGTTGCAGAGGATGTGGAGAGAAGGGAACCCTGTGTACTGTAAGAATGTAAATTGGCGCAGCCTTCATGGAAAAGAGTATGGAGGTCCCACCCAAAATAAAAAGTGAACTCCCATATGACCTAGCAATTCCAATTCTGGGTGTATCTACCTGGAGAAAACAAAAACACTAACTCAAAAAGATACATACGCCCTTATGTTCATTGCAACTTTATAATAGCCAAGATATGGAAAAAACTTAAGTGTCCGTCCATGGATGAATGAATGAAGATGTGGTAAGTACATACAATGGAATATTAGGCAGCCATAAAAAATACAAAATATTGCCATTTGCAGCAACATGGATGGACCTTGAGGGCATTATACTATTTGAAATAAGTCAGACAAAGAAAGGCAAACACTGTATGACCTCACTTACACGTGGAATCTTAACAAAAACAACAAAACAAGCTCATAGATACAGAGGACAGATTGGTAGTTGCCAGAGGTGGGGGTGGTGGTGGTGGTGGTGGTGGTGGTGGTGGTGGTGGTGGTGAATATAATAAGTAAAGAAAGTCAAAAGCTATAAACTTCTAGTTATGAAATAAATGAGTCCTGGGGATGTAACTTACAGCATGTCAACTGTAGTTAATAACACTATATTACATACTTGAAAGTTGCTAAGAGAATACATCTTAAAAGTTCTCATCAGAAGAAAAAAAAATTTGTAACAATGGGTGGTGGCAGATGTTAACCAGACTTATTGTGTTGATCATTTCAAAATATAGAAATATCAAATCATTAAGTGGTATACCTGAAACGAATACAATGCTGTTATGTCAATTATACCTCAGTTTAAAAAGTTTGTATAAGTTAAAAAAAAAATCAAAATCAAAGCTTAAACAGAGAAAACCTCATGATCCAACTATGAATTTACAGGAGATATAGATCAGAGGAGTATGAAACATCCACAGGTGTGCAATCGGATACAAACCAGATTTTGTGAAATTCTACAGGCAAACAACCCATTTTCTTCAACAAACATATCATAAAACAGAAAAAAGAGAGAACTAGTGATGGAAGGGGAAAATGGCAGATTAAAATATTTAAATCAACCAATTGCAAAAGGTGGATCTTATTAGGCTTCTGATTCAAACAAAGTAATGATATTTTAGGATACTCATAAGACAATCAAATTATTGAACAATGATGGGCTATTTGATGACATTAAGAAATTATTGTGTTTTCGTTGTTGTGATAATGATATTGTTGCTATGCTTTTAAAGTGTTTTTTAGAGATACATACAGAAATATTATGGATGAGATGACGTGATGTCTGGAACTTGCTTCAGAAAGATATGGGAGGTGGGGGAGTGGATGAGGGGTTGGTGTAAATAAGATTCATCATGAGTTGATAATAGTAGAGGCTGGAGTCCATGGGGCGCATTATAATATTCAGTATATTTTTTGATGCTGGCTTTCATTTTGCTATAGACTAAAGCCTGTATTATATTTTTTGATTAGCCACTGCTTATATTAAATGTACTACTTACTCCAAAAACTTATTACTATCTTTATTAAGTTACAGCTCCAGCTGCTGCTGAAACAGACCACTAGGGCCATATCCTGAGCATGTGCAACCTGCTAGGTGGGTGACTTCATGCCAATTACTTACTGTGTCCCTCCCGTCCCAATTGCACTATGGGGCTTATCAACCCTACTTGATAGGGTTATTGAGAGGTTACCCGAGACAAAGGGTTTATCACACTGCTCTGTACAAGGGCATGTCTGAGAAACACTTCCTGCCAATTACAGTGAAAATTTCTGAGTTTGCGGGTTTCTCATTTTGGTAACTTATTACAGTTCTGGAAAATCACAAGTCTATTGGTTAAAAAAACAAAACAGGAATCTGGATTTTAATTAACCCCAAACAACTTTCTACAAGTAGGGAAAATGTACTAGGTAGGTTGATTTTAATCTACAGCTCACAGACATATATGTCTCTTCAAAGACATATAACAGTGGGACACTTCTCTTATGGAGGGTCTTTCATGAGTGGGGGGTCATGTGATTCCTTCAAAGGCAAAGCCTGAAACATAGCATGTGGTTTTCAGATCCCACCCAGCTCCATTTTCTGATTCTTGTGGTGCGTTCTGTGTCATTTGCAAGTGCTCATGCAGGAACATGGCCTAGCCCCTGCCACCCCTCTCCCCTATCTTGAATATTCTGCTTGTCCACTACATTCCAGCCACACTGGCCTTCTCTTTGTCCTTCAAACGTAGGTCACTCTTCTTTGTTTTTGCCAGGAAAAGAATGCTCTTTTCCTGATTTTCACATGGCTTCTTGTCATTCAAATCTCTGTTTAAATGTCACCCACTGGGGAGCCTTCCCTGAACGCCTTCACCATTACTTGCTCCTCCCCCCAGTGTATATCACTTATTTTTATTTTTGTATTAGCACTTATCACTGCTTGATATTTTCTCTTCCAGTTTGGGTTTATTATCTCGATCCCCGACGAGAAGAGAAGGTCCATGGAAGAGGACTCTTGTCTATCTCATTGACCACCGGATTTTTATCTACTAGACTAGTACTTGGTACATATTGGGCACTCAACAGATATTGGTCAAATGAATGCATGACTAAATCCAAGCTACAATAAGGGACTGAAATGGGAACATACCAACGGCGTCAGAGAGTCCGTATACCCTTTGGCCGTATGCGTCTGTCTTGTCCCAGATGAAGGTGTAGGCCAGGTTGGAAGAGGCCTGGAATGATTTCTGGAAGAGGTGCCCCTCTACAGCGACCATCAGATGAACCTTGATGAGGTTCAAGGGCACTGTGGACTGGGTCATGGTGATCTTTAGCAGTGACTTGTAGCCTGCAGTCCTGGAGCTCAGGTAGCGAAGCTTCACGTTGGAACCAGGGAGCTCGATTTCTTCATGGAGAACCTGGAGAGAAAACACGCAGTAGACACGCTGCATCCAACGCGCCCTGGCTGGGGGGCTGCTCTCCACCCCGAGGCTGCCTGTGGCTGCCATCCTCACTGAAGCATCACGCCTCACGTGGGGTGCAAGAACCACTTCCCAAGGCAGGGGGTGGGGGTGGGTGGGGAAGCAAACAAAACTTTATCCTACATCATGGAACGAAGGGGCTTAGGTTATGATTTTTGGATTAATAATTATTCTTGGTCACTGTTGTGTTTCTTTTTAAAAACCACACTGTTGGCAAAAGATGTAAATAAGAACAGCAGGCTTTATTGCTAGCTGCATGCAAGGAGGCCACGAGAGGCTGTAATTATATGAACCTGCAACTTCCACTGACAATTGGTATAAAGCAACAGGGAGGCAACAATGTAATATGCCCTCTGTTGTAGCACGGATGTAGATCATTAAGGAGCCTCTTATCACGCATCTCTGTGACTAACAGGAATAAAAAGCAATTTGCAGGTGGGTTGCACATATGTATATTGCTTTTATTTTATTAAAAGCACTGGTGGGCTGGCCGAGTGGCACGTTGGTTTGGGACTGGCTTGGGACGCCAGCTCTGAGCAGCAGGGCCCCAGTTTGGATCCCACATGAGGGCCAGTGACGCTGCGCCCTCTACAGCTAAGGTGGTGAACAACAGCTTGACCTGGAGTTGGGCTGCTGTGAGTCACCAGTGATGGCATAGGCTGCAGCCCCTGCTGCAGTGGGCTGCCGTAAGCTACCGTGAGTGGCCGGCAGCCGGCGTGAGCGGTTGGCAGCTGGCGTGAGCTGCCCTGAGCCACTGTGAACGGCTGTCCAATGGCTGGTGAGTGACTGCCTCATCCGGGAAGAGCGCAATGATAATACCAAGATGGGCCAGTGAAGCGACGTCCTCCACAACTAGACTGAAGAACAAAAGGACAGCAACTTGTCTGTTCCCCTCCCCCAATTCCCCAATAAAATCTTTTAAAAAATACAAAAAAGCGCTGGTGATTTCCAAAGTGTTGAACGATTATGTGGGAACATCTAGAATGTCTAGGACAGATTTGTTTTTTTCTTCAGTGACTATAAATTCTACTCCATCCCTACTTTTTGTCCCACCTCCTAACATTGGTTTCAGGTCCACCCAAGGAGAGCTGTGTGGGAGGCAGCTGGCCGGCCAGGTTTGGTCCAGGCAGTACTGTGAGTCCTACCCGGGTACCCGCCATGCCTACCTGGGTCTCAGGCACGATGGGATTCTGCCCAGGGGCAGCACTGAAGAAGGTAGACAACGGGGAGGAGATGATGATTGGATCTGGCCGGACAAAGCCACTGAGGTCACAGCTGGGGATGGAGTTCTCCTCTGTCTTCATCACCAGGGTGTCCATGGCGTAGAAGCTATTCCACGGCAGCCACACTGTGCGCTCCTGGCTCATGAATGGGGCTCGCTCGAAGTGCAAGGTCAAGGAGGCACCCCCATTGGCGATCAGGTCAAACCTGGAGAGGAGGTGAGTGGGCTCACTGAGAGGGGTGAACTCACCTTCAGACAAGGCAGGTGCTCTGACTTATGCACCTGAAGGCGGGGGGGGGGGCAGTGCATGTAGGAGAACGTGTGGGCTTTGGAGGCAGACGGGCTGGTTGGAACCCAAACTCTACCACTTACTAGTTGTGTGGCTGTGGGCAAGTCACTAACCCGCTCCGAGCCCAAGTTTCTCCATCTATGAAACGGGAATAATTATAGCGACTTCACAGTGTGGCTAAGAGAATGCAATATCATGATGAGTGCAGAGCAAGGGTCTGCAAATGAGGCCCAGCAGCTAAATCTGGCCCATCATCTGTTTTGCTTAAAAAAAAGTTTTACTGGAATATAGCCATGCCCATTCATTTACTTATCCTCTCCAGCTGTTTCTGTGCTATAATGGCAGAGCTAAATAGTTGCAGCACAAACCATATGGCCTGCAAAGCCGAAAATATTTCCTATCTGGCCCTTTATGAAAATGCTTCCCCCTCCTCATGCAAAGCACTTAGCATCGTGCTAGGCTAATAAAACGTGGAGTTATGATGACACGATGCTAGGACACAGGGAAGGGCTCATTAAAGCTGCCCTTTCATCAGCTTTGCTGTTTCTGATTTTGTTCGTTTTTTTGTTTCATAGAACCTTAGCTTTTTTGTTTCCAGATACAGCTGACATGTAACATTATATTGGTTTTAGGTATATGACATGATTTGGTATTTGTCCATATTGAGAAATGAGCAGGACAATAAGTCTAGTTTTCACGACCACATGTAGTTACAGAATTTTCTTTTTTCTGGTGATGAAAACGTTTAAGATCTAATCTCCTCACAACTTTTGAATATACAATACGGTATTATTAACGAGAGTTGCCATGCTGTATATTACATCCCTGGACTTATTCTCTCATAACTGGAAGTTTGAGCCTGTTGACCACCTTCACCCACTTTGCTCTGCTTTTGATATTTTTGACCATCATTTTTACATTATATTCCTGTTTTTTTTCCTCCAGGGCTGGACGGAGGTGTATTTCCAGTACAGTAAAATAAAGGTACTTCTTTCCAATTAATGGAACAGAAGGAGGTTCATGCAGAGAAGTCTCTCAGTGTTAAGCCTTCCTCCTCTGCTAGGATCTCATCTCTTTGAGGGGAGAGGTGTCGTCTTGCTCATTCCAGAATCCCCAGCAGCAAGCAGAGGGGCTGAATCACAGTAAAAGCTCAGAGAACATATGCAGACCCACTGGCTTCACCCAATCTTGGTAACAGCTTTGGTGTTTTATAATGGACATAAAATGAGTGAACACAGAGTACGTGAATACACTGAGATGAATATCAGAGTGAGGACAGTATGACAGCATACTTATTACATTAATTTGTTTATCTACTCATTTGGGGGCATGCACACTGCTGGGGATGGTTTTCTATCAGTCACAGGAGAGAGTCCAATGTTCTGAAGTGAGATCCTTCCTGGCTCGTACGACAGAATCAAATCATGGATGTCTGTGGCACACACCCGCCACCACACAGCAGGCTGTGGGGCTCCTCGGAGCACCCCCAAACACATACTGTTACTTCATGGCTTTGCAACCTGAACAAGCTGAAGAATTGCCACTCTAGGAGGTGGGACAGACAACCTGGGACATGGACTTGGGCCACAATTAGTCAAAAAACAGCTAAGAGGGATGGGGCACCATAAGGTGGGGACAGACAGTATGCCAAAGACTCAGAAATATTCTCTTGTGTTGTCACGGGAATTTGGGGGGCAAGAATACTGGATTCTAAGAATGGAGAAGGCCCAACGTAGCTCTGTGGAGCAACACAGTTGTGGTGCTTTAAAAGAATTAGATTTGGTTGCAGAAAGGTATGAGTGAGGCATCAGCAACTTGACAGTGTGAAGTGACTCATCAGACATCGGCTTTGGGTTGCACAGAATGTGAGGATGGGGCTACTGTGGGCTGGTCATTTTTGAAACTACCCGCAAGGTTATCTTAAGACATTAAAGAATAAGGTCAGGCTCTTCACCAGAAAAAGGCAAGAATCACCATCCTTATCTACATGACACATGTATGATTTTCCAGACTCTAGTTTTCTAGAAAAAGTACTGCATCTGATTATAGCAACAGTTTCTTCTTTCATTTGGAACAGAATATTATAGTTGTGTTTTGTTTTTAGCTCAGGGTAGGTGAGTATTTTCCCCTTCCCATGGATTTATTTTCTTTTTCTTATCTTTTTCTTTAAATTTCAACTCCATGCCCAATGGATTAAGGAACTGACAGAGCTTTCATCTTGGTGGGCGCTGCACGGGTGCGTGTTTCCAATCAGAAGCTAATAGGGAGAGGTTGGCTCCTTCACACAGCAGGGTGATGGCTAAATGCATTTAATTAGGCCTCTCTGATTACATCCCACCCCCTCAAAACAGGAGCAAAAGCAACACAACTCCTAAAGCCACAGATGAAAGCAGAAGGGGTTCACCACAGGACACTATGTCATGTGGCGCCTTGTCACCCTGCGCCGCCTTTGATTTAAAATAGGACTGAATTTCCAAGAGCTGCTTTCCCTTCTTTCTAGAATCCAACCCCCTCCCCCAGCCTCAGCACCAACATAGGCAGAGAAAAGCGTTTACCTGACATGGAAGAAAAGAAAATAATGGCTGCCAGCAGCCTTGGATAGGTGGGCCATTCTATTTATTTTTTATACCATCTTGAAAACCCAAAGTGAAACTCTCTAGATCACTAGAGGTCTGGCCTGGTGGGAGTTCCAGTCCACAAGGTTCCACGCCACGTGGTTCCAAGCCAATAGCACCATCTGTCTCTTTGTCTACAACCCAAGTTCTGAGTAGGTAGAGACCCGCAAATCTACTTACGTGCCATCTTGGCGAGTGATGGTGTAGCCGTATTTTGGGTACTTGACAAAAGACACGTTCACACCAACCAGGGGAGTCCCATCTGTAGTTACTACTTGGCCTCGGATGAGAGAAACCAAGCTGAGGGAAAAGAAAACATGGGTTTTTGAGCCACACACAAGAGAACGAGGACACAAGAGAACGAGGACACAGGGGTGGGGCTCCCCCTTCCCATTGCCACTGCCCCCCCATTCTCATCTATCCCTAAGGCAAGGAGAAGACCTCCCCCCCCCATTAACTGCTGGCTCACGTGATCATAGCTCAGGCAGAAGGGATGTCTCAATGCTCGCTTCCCCTGACGAGCAGAACTGGTGACATACTGGGGTGAAATGCAGGGGCAGCACCTCCAGTCATTCGTCTGGGCCCTGAGGTCCCCTGTGCAGGTTCCCTCTCCCCGTGGCCTCACTACATTTCTAGACCTCGTGCGACTTTTGCTTGGCCCAGTGTCAGGCTGCCCCTCATCACTCGTGTTTGCGCCTTAGTCTGGCACAGAGAGCATTATATTTGGGCGAGAGCTTCCCCATCTGGCTACTCACTTCCTTTCTTGGCTATGGAGGAAGGCAAAGTTCCCCTTCTCCTCCAGGCTGGGGTGGCAGGCGGAGTGGAGGGGAGCATACAGAGGTTTATTATGAGGCTGGGACATTTACATTGTTTTTGACTGCCCTTAAGAGCAAGATTTCTCACAATCCATGACAGCTTAAGGAAAACAGAATGTTGTAGATATATACATGTATATATATTTCTGGTAGAGCTATCTTGGATTCTGGATCCCATGTAATTACATATTTCTCTTACATCAAGTTCCTGCTATCTTGAGAGCAGGGGAAGTGGTTGAAATCCCACTCGACTTTTTTCCACTGTCAAAGAAAGCTCCCCTCTCTCCAGATCACAGTAAATAGAATTTTCCCAAGGATGCCCATATCCAACTAGGCACTTCTGGGAAATCCCAGAAAGCCGCCGAGATGACACAATATTCCACTCAAAATCCATGGAGGGAGAACGCACCTGCCTCCTCTCACCTGAAGTCTCTTGCCTTCCTGGAGAAATGGGCTCAGGAGAGGTGCCATTTTCGCACTGAGCCCCCAGCCTACCAGGCTGGTCTGCAGCTGTATTGTTCGCCTTCAAGCCGCTGGCCAATGTGGCGAAGGCAGAGAGGTTCGCAGGCTTCCAGGGTCCTGGACATGCTCCCAGTTTCTGGACTAGGTAATCAAGCTGACCTGTTCTTTGCCAGAATCCTGTCCAAACCTGCTCGATTTTTGGAATGCACTTAATTCTGCAATCTCAGGTGACTCCCAAACTGGAGGGATGCTTTCTCCAAGTCCCTGTTTTGATTAGCAATACCCCCAACTGTTCAACCCTTGGAAGATCTCAGGAGGGTTTAGTCTGTTCCACTGACAGCTCTAATTGTCTGCTACTGGCTGCCTAACAAATGAATCCCATTTTTAGCTGGTTCCAACCACAATGCTAAGAGTCTTTTGAAAGTGGAAAACTAATTTATGCAAATAATTCTTTTGTTCAATTTCCTTTCCTTATCTTGGCTCAGCCTAAGATTTCTTTCAGGTCTTCCCAGGCACAATTTTAAAATCAATGATGTGTGTTGATGACCACAAGATGCAAAGTGCTTGTGATGAGAAAACAAAATTGAGAGTACATCCCATGGTGGGGGTTTCCTCCCTTCTTTCTTATACAACTGGCTATTTCTATTAAATCATTCTTGAAGCACGAGGCTTTGCAGAGCTCCATAGGAATAAAAGGAGTTGGGCTGCCTATGAAGTCTACCCCCTAGTTTTCTAATTCTTCATTGCTTCTGGCTTCCTATCATTTCGAGGCAGTCAATTTGCAGAAAAGATTCAGCTAAGACATGCTATCAGTTCATTTCTATTTATGATTATTGATGTGTAACAATTATCACATTATCTAGATAGTGAGATCTGCTCTATAAATTATAGTGGTGGAGCCAAGGCATTTTAGTTATTTTTGTATGCCATTATTGAGGGGAAATGCCTTCTTAGAAGTCTTGGATTAAGTTCTTTTTTCACTCTAGTTTTGTCCTTCATTATTCATCAGACAATCATGTACTGAAATTCACATGCTTGGTGAACTTCAACCTATGTCTTAGAGTAACATTTTGTGTCTCTGAATTATGTATTGTGGACATGCTAGAGCGTGGGCCCATCTGGGTGGTACTTTCTCCAAAGCAAGTTGCTTTTGCCCAGATCTCAGGGGCTGGTACAGTCCACCAAATATTCTGGGGGCCCTGCCTGCTTACCCATGTCTTGGCTCAAGGTGTCTCCTGGAAGTGGTAATGATGGTGGGAAGGGCAAGATTAAGTTTTAAGGAACAGTCTGTGGAGAAAGAGCATGAAAAGGGGAATACCAGGAAATGACTGGATTTAGGGCAGAAATATTGAAATGTTAACAGGAAGCTGATTGAAAGAGAGCACTGGCCTTTGAAAGATGCATTCACAGTAGAAGCAAACTATATGCAAACCAAACCGAAAGGCTTATGGCCTAGTACAAGGGCTGGTCATGAGTCTCTGGCACTAGGAATTATGTTCATAATTAAAAGAAAACATATCCACAGAATCCGTGTCCCAGAACTAGGATCTAACAAGCAGAACCATGTTTTCGGTCAGAGATTTGTGGTTTCTTTTATTTTTTTGAGGGGTTCTTGTATTAAAATAATAATATTACTGCGTGTTATATATTCTACACATATTACTCTAATTTTACCAATCAAGGAAATGAAATTTATGAGGTTAATTAACTTGCCTAATATGACATAGCTAGGGGGTGTCGTGGCTGAAACAGAAGAGGTATTAAAATAATAATGATAATGTCAAAAATAATAGATCATAAAAATGACCTACAAACCAGGCCGTCAACAGGTCTCTCCAGCAGGTTCTGGGTTCAAGGTGACCAAATCCCAGAGAGAGAGACCCGGACTGCCCTGCAGCTTGACCCACAGAGAGGAAAGGGCCTTCTATGAACCAGAGCTGGGAGCTGACCTCTTGGCGCACTTTCCAGGCCAACAGGGCCCATAGAAAACCCAGGAGCACTTCCTGCTGCTCTGACAGGAAGGGCACCCGTGGCCTCGGTGGCCTGCAGGGACAGGGAGCACCCACCTGCTGTTGAAGGGGTTGTCTCCAGGAATGATGTGGGTGCTGTCTTTGCCTGCCAAGAGCTTGATGCGGTCGTAGAAGGACTTCACTGCGGGCGAGTCCGTCTGGCTCTGCTGGATGATGTCCAGGGGGTCCCGGGACCCCCGGCAGAGCAGGCTGTTCTGACAGGCCGACTGCAGGCAGCAGTCAGGGTCCAGGCAATCCACCAGGCCGTCTGGAAGGGCAGAGGCAGAGCCAGGGTCAGGGGATTCCGTGCCACACAGCCATGTAGAGATGCTGGCACCTTTGTCCCAAGCACCATCAACCCTTCCCGAGGGCCCGACTTGGCAGGCTGCACACAACAACCCTAGTGCAATTGCAATATACACACCTAGAAAATATAAGGCTGAAAGCAAGCAATTTAAAATATTGACAAAGTGGTTATCCCCAAGTCATAGGTTATTGTGTTTCTCTTCCTTTATTTTTCGTTTCTGGAATTTCTCCTTTTCCTGTGATGAGCAACTATTATTTGAATGGTTGGAAGTAAAAACACTTTGCTTTTAAACAGCACAGCACAAAAATTTGCCCATAGTCAGCTCTCAGCGGCCTGTGCTAATGGATGCACAAGTGGTCAAAATGCATGGGATTCCTCAGCTCCCGCTTTAATGGAGAAAAGCATTCTACCCCTGTTCCCCCTGAGCCAGGGAGGGTGCTGCCAAGCAGTTGGAGAACCAGGTGTGGTGACTTTTTCGTTTTCCAGGGAACATGGACAAATGAGTTTAGCTTGAGCACCCTGACATTCAGCCATGAGTTCACCCAAGTGTTTCTGGTGCTGCCTGGCCACATACCTGCAGGACGCTGAACGTCCTGCTTTACCTACCTGGATTCCTGCCCCTCCATCCCTTTCCTGGGCTGATTCCTACTTCTCATCTACCACTCAACAAATGTTTGAGTGCCATCCATGTTTTGGAACTAAAATGGGGAACAAAGAATGATGGCGTCTGTCCATCAAGAGCTGACACTAGAGTGGGGGAAACAGATATGACCCATCCTCTCAGATCCAGGCTCGTGCGGCCTCCTCCTCCAGGAAGCCTTCCTGATGCTGCCCCTGTCTAGGGAAGGTATTCCTGTTAGGGGTATCCCTGAATCAGAGATTCTCAGAGAATGGGTCTGCATCAAAATCCTGTGAGAACCAAGGGCCTGCCCCAGACCTCCCAAGTGAGAGCCTCCAGGAGCAGGTCCTGGAATCTGCATTTTAAATAAGATTCTCAGGTAATTCCAATGCACCATAAATTTTAGAAACAGTTGTTCATGCCCACTGTGTTGTTTTAGAATTAATTATCTGTGTGCTTTCTTCCTGTCTGGAAAATGAGCACTTTGAAGAGAAGCACAGTGCCTTATTTGTTTCTATATTCATGCCTCACTTAGGGCCAACCACAGAATTGGGTACTCAATCAATGTTTGTTGAGTGAATAAAGGACAGTTCCCCATTCCTCAGTTGTCTCTTAGGGCTGAGGATGGGGATGTTTAAAACAGTGTACGCGCCTTGGAATTCCCCATGGGAAGGGATTAGCTAGCCAACCCTTATTCACTCTGCTGGGAATTGACTGAACTCACAGTGGAGAAGCTTGGAGACTAACTCGCTTGTACCACCTGGATTTGATCGCAAGGCATTTTGGGGCCATAATTAACATCATAGAAACACGTACTCAAACCCTGGGCTGTGACTTGACAAACACTTGTACTGGAAATGCTGAATCAGAGGCCTGGCTGTGTGCATTCAATTTACTCCAATGTAATTTTTTGGCATTACTCTCCTCGCTTGGTTCTGCTAATGAAATCAAAATATGTAATTTCACCAAAGTTCCACTGTAATTTAGCAATTAATGTACAATTATTTGAATGCGTTACTTTCTTTTTTTAGCAAACAAACAAATTAGGAGGTTGCGCGTTTTGCCTGGCTTTAAATGACTAAAGCTAGCCTCTCATTTTCCACATGGGCAAATGTTGCTGGTGTGCCTCATAACACACGTAGCTTTACAAAATTTCCTAGAAATGCAGACGCAAGAGGGTGAGCTGGCACACATGCTTGGAATTTAGAGACTTTTGAAGTCGAGGCTCCGAACACCTCAGCCCAAGGTGTCGGCTGGATCAGGCACCCCCAAGAGCCCAGCAAATCTCAGATCCGAGAAATGGCGCGGCTGAATTTTATCAGCAGCATCCTGCTGCGGAAGCACGGATTCAGGTCCATGTTCAGATTGGCCAGTGGGTCCCAGGGCCCTCGGCAGCATAAGAAAAAGCAAAGAAAACATAGTATTCTGCCTTTAACATTGCCTGCCATGGCGAGCCTTCACTAGGCAGACGGAATCTAGCACGAAGGTTTGCGTGGGATTTCAAAATGTCCCGCTGAGAAATGTTGGCAGTGCTTCATTCAGCGGCTGCAGGAACATCTCAGGTGAGAAGAAACCCACTGTAATTAGCGCTCTCGATTTCTTTAAGGCCGCCGGCCCCTTCCCATTAGGAGTCTCATCCATCTCTGGTGGCCTCCCCCTCCCGAAGAAGCTGGAAATATGCCCCTCCCGTCCCAAACCCATTTAACGCCCACTCCGTATCACCAGCTTGAGGGCCTCAGCGGGCTCAAATAATAAGTTAAGACAGTTTTCCTATTAGGCAGTGAACATTTTCCTCCCTCTAGTCGGCCACTTGTTCTGGCCTTGTGAATGTTTCAAAAGCGGGGGCCTCAAATTTCCCCACTGTTTTGTTGATTCTGGGCTTTTGATTCAAGGGCCTGTCTGGCAGGAGATGTTCTATAAACACATCCGCCACAGAAGATGGCGAATGCTAACAAAAAGACAAAAAAATAAGCATATAAATGATTTCCTCCCACGTAGTTACATCTACCTGTCCCAGAGATGGCGCATTTGGGGTTCCGTCCATTATTAGGCGTGAGCATACGTGATGCCTGTAATGACCTTATCATGTTGCGTGATTATGGGCTGCCGCTGCCAAACTCTTTCAGACGACACTGTGAACTTTAAATTGGCACTCCAATCTCCCAGTGGCCTGTCAGTCATGAGAATCGTATCTTTATGCCAGCAAGCCCCTCGCATGGAGTCTGACATGCGATCTTCAGTAAATTACCCTGTCACTGACAATCTTGCAGTTATCTTGCAAACAATCAAGCCGGCACTCAAACTGTTTTGAATTGCCAGTTCGGGACCCGAGAGGCTGCCGATGTCTCCATTCCACAGGCACGCGAAAGTGTCACAGTCCTCTGATGACATTGCACAATTTCTTTCTTTCTTTATCTACCAACTTATGTGCTCGTCGGGTTGTTCTCCCTCATGCTAAGCGTGGTGAGAGAGGTTTGCAAAGCCCCTGAAAAGGGCCCGGTTCTGACTCGGCAGTTATGGGAAAGTGACCCAGGCTTTCCCAACGGGCTGACCATGATGGTGTCCTGTGTCTGCGTGACATGTCCTTGTTTACTTCACTCTGTGTGATGTGGCCATGGAGAATTGTCTCGGTACGCGCTGTCAGAACATAGGCAAAATCACAGCCCTGGCTGCATGCCACACACAAACGTCGTGTGCTAATTGCAAGGGCCATTTCAGAGAAATATGGGCGTGGAGAAGCGTTCTGAGAACAGTACAGAAGGCAACTTTTATGTTGCGTTTGATAAAGAAAATCAAAGAGAACCTTCTATAATAATTCTGGCATGTGAAGCAGAAATCAGGTTCATGCTAAATTGAATCTTTTGCATTCAAATTCCCAAGGTAAAAGCCAAAAAAGTCTCATAGCATCAGAGGTAAGAGCCTGGCCTGTGGAATCAGATGGATTTGGGTTTGAAGCTCGCGTCCCTAGCTGTGTGAGCCTAAAAATGTAATCAACCTTGCTGAACCTCAATCTGTTTGCCTTTAAAACTGCGTTATAATAGTGTATCTATCATAGCGTTAAGTGATGGAGAATAAATAAACTGATGTACAGATTATCAGCATGGCGCGTAGTGTGTGTACAATGAAATGTAGGTATTACTACTACCAGAAACTCCCTGAAATTTTCAACTTTTCCAGTTTATAAAAACTGGACATGAAAATACATGAAATGAATATCCCCTTATTAGAGTCAGTCACTGTTTTGTGCTATATAGTAGGTTGAATCTTGGCAAGAATGCTGTTTCCAGGTAGTGATAAGTTAATAATTGATAGCAATAATAAGTGCTATAGATTGAACAGTATTTACAGCACATATACTCTTAAAGTCCTCACGACAACCCTACAAAGCAGAATACTGTAACCCTTAAGCTGCAGATTCTGGCTTAGGGTATCTGGGTTTGAATCTCAGGTCAGCTACTGTCGATCTGGTGACGTTGGACAATGAACTGCTGTGTGCCTCAGTTTCCTCATGTACAAAATGAAGATGGTGTTAGAAGGTGTTGTTGGGAGGATTAAAGCAGTTATGACATGTACAGCATTTGGAGTAGTGCCTGGTAGATGAGTATCTGGTAGATTATCCCCATTATGACACCACACGTCTTATAGGAGCCGGAAACTGCTGCTCAAAGAAGCTAAGGAAGTTTTCCAAGTGGCTAAGCAGCAGCTTTGGATAAAAAGTACGAAAAGGCAACCAACGAGGTCATCACCCTTTGTTTTCTTCATTACCGGAAGGAGAAGACATGAAATTCCCAAAGGGATAAAGACAGGACAGTGGACACCCATCAACAGGGGAAAGTAGGGGCGGCCATGAGATCCCTCACTTCTGTCTACTCCCACAGCTGGGGAAGACTGTGGTTGGTTGAAACGAGCATCTGAAAAGGAATCTACATGAGAAACAAGATGCCTGGGAATCCATCCTCTGCCACGTGGGCTGCTGAGGCCCCCACTACTTACCGGGGAGAGTCAACCCCCACTCAGCTGTTTACCATGGGCACAAGGTGGCACTTGCCTTCTGGGCTGGCTGCAGGTTTGTGTCAGCTGTTTCTAGCCCCTCCTAGTTTGCTCTGCTGGGTTTTTAAGGGAGCTCCTAAACAGTCATGGATTTACCCTCAGCGCCTTAACTGAACACTTAGTAAAGCTCAGGGAGGTAGGGGAAGGGGCCCCTGGTCAATGCAGAGGCTGCAGAGCACACAGTAAACATCTGGATAGCTCAGGGTTGGCTGAAACATGCACCTCTTTTCTGCCAGGTAAGGCTGCCTGAGTCACTGCATCGCTCTCCCAGGAAAGGAAGGGCTCCGAGAAT